AAACTAATATTAGGATGAGAATTGGAAATGATTATGAACCATTAAAAGTACATAGATTTAAATTTTTTCAAACAATATATATTAGATCATTAAATTTTATATATTAAACTATTTAAGTTTTTCAAATGTATGTTTTATGTATCATTAGATTTAACGTAAATGATAAATTAAATACATGATTGCTAATGATCTAAATAATTTAGATCTTTTGATAAATCACTCGTGTAGAGAAACAATCCAATGATTAAAACAAATAATTGAGTCTTTTGGTATATATATATATATATATATCTTATGTTCTATTGTCTCGATTGGTTAGAGATTCGTGCCGATAACGTGTTATAAAAGAAATGTTAACAACAATAGAATTGGAAAGAAAAATAATGAATAAATGATTTCACTATAAAATTAAGAGAATATAAGAGATAACAACTTCAAACAATTTTTTCAATCTCTACAAAATGTTTGTCCACAAACTAATGAACAATCAAGCCTATTTATAGACTTCAAGATTAGGATGAGAATTTGAAAGGATTATGAACTATTAATATGAGTAATGAGAATATGAAAAACATATAAACATTCATATGGACATTCATTATTTTAAAATACAACAATAAATATTATAATTCATATATTTTCTTATAATTTATTATTTATAGACTTCAAGATCGGGATGAGAATTTGAAATGATTATGAACTATTTATATGAGTAATGAGAATATGAAAAGCATATAAACATTCATATGGACATTCATTATTTTAAAATACAATAATAAATATTACAATTTATATATTTTCTTAAAATACTACACACACAAGTGTACTATTAATATTAGCCAATTTAATTTGGCCCTTCAATTCTATTTTCTTTAAACAATCAAGGCACATCATTTAATAAATCATGGTGATTTTGGTAACTCTCCATTTAAAAAAGCATGCTTATTGTTGTCATGAGTTTGATAACCTAACAATAATATTGAACTATTACCAATCACAAAGTGGTAGTATGCTTATAAGTAAAAATCAAATTATAAATCAGATTTAAAAATCTATTTTTATGATGAATATTTTTAAAAATTTATTTTTATAATATCTGAAATCGTATTGTTGGAAACACTTTTTAGTCATGTTAGGAAAAAAAATTAGTTTTACACCTTTTTATTGAACCTAAAGAAATATTGAACTATTAACAATGACCCAGGTCAGCTTGCTCTCGCACTTCATGTCCCAATTCCACTTCACGGTTGAGTTGATTAAGAAAAACAAGATAGAACTACACTGTAGAATAAAAAAGCACGACAACTTTTATCTTTTAAAATACACTTTACAACCAAAAAGTCAACTATTTTCCGGCATTCTTTTTGTTTTTTAAATATAATTTGAAAACCTTAATAAAACAGTTATGTCTAATTTTTTTATTTTAACAAAATAAACTTTTATTTTGATGTAAGATAAGTATGCATATCGCTTTAATACATTGTCATATTAGTTTACTGAAATCTTAGTTCCACGATTTTACGTTTTTTCTTTTCTTTGGAGCTTGAATACTACTTGCACGTTAGGATACAACAAAGTTGATAACGAGCAAATTGACCATAGCAATACAGTAGATCACATCGGAAATTGGTTAAATATGGTCATCAATAGTTGACTTTTGAAGCCATTCAATCCCTCTTCCGTCGAACGATTCTTACAAGGCGAAGATTTTGTACCCGTAGGTGTTTGCCTTGAACGCTTGGAGTTTTCTGGAAATGACGTATGCAATGCAACAACGAGTAAGCTACAAGAAATCACAAAATACAACGGTAAATAACTTCAGTTTTAATTAGGGAATGTTATTTGACTTGAAACCTTACTTTTGGAGAAGCGTTTTAGCTAATAACAATATAAAATTAACTTCGCAGATTCTTCAGTCATTGTCAATACGAGAAAAAAATAAAATTAACCATGTTCATTCTTTTCAATATCTTGTAAGGATTGAGGCAATTATAAAAAATAAAAAAGAGCAAAAAATAGCGATAGCAGACAATTGTAAAGTTGGAGATATGATCCTCATGCATTATTTCGATGAAATTTACCAACGAAATAACATATATATAGAGGCCACTTTGGAGAAATGTCCGTTGCATGAGGATATTCAAATTTGACACAAACAAACGTCATGCTATTCGGAGGCTTCCAAATAGCCCGCTCAGAAAGTGCCAAAAAGGACTCAGCAGGACTAGCTCAGCCTCCAGATGTTTTCTTTACCCTTCGACAAGACAGCCCAAGTTCCGTCTTAATCCATCAGGGAAGACGGTCCAGCACTATTAATTATATTATCTTTATCTTTATATATCCACAAATGGGTCCTTCTTTTCTCGTCTTAGCTGGAGACATGGAACCCACTTTTATTTATCACCTACGTGAAGAAGAGGTGGTAAAACTGAAAAAACTTGAAAGAACTACCAGTAGAAGCATCTCAATTTTAGCCATTGATTCTGCTATCAATACACTACATCCATAAATAATAATAATAATAATAATAGTCCAACGTTCATACGTGATGTCTACGCCTAGATATTATAAAGATCCAAAGAAACTAAGCACAAAGATTGACTGTTTCTTATTCAACGTAAATTCTCTTTGAACTAAATCATAGAACACGTATATTAATTAAATGGCATATTGCGTTTTCCTACATGTAGAATATAATTTATGAAAGCTGACTCGATCTTAAAATCATTAAACTCCATGTCAATGGTGATGAAAATCCATGGTGGTGGCACCTCCAGCACGGGATCTGATTTCCACAATTAAGATCATTAGTCGCTCAACTGAAGAGAATAAAAACTGAAAAGCCAAACAGAAAAGTGATTCGCGATGTTTATTTAACGTGACGAACACCAAAAAAGGCATGGAAATACATGTGTAGAAACATTTTCAATTAGCATGAAAAGTTGCTTTCGCAGAAACTGAATGGTAGCAAAAAAGAGCTTGTACTATAATTTATGCGCTAATACTTCAGGGTATGGGTAAAATACTGAATTAATTAAAAAAATATATAGAATAGTAGTAGTTAGCTAATTCCAGGGCTTGTTGCGGACGAAGCAAAAAACAGCGTGCAAATGAGAACAAAACTGTGATTAATAGAGATACTTTACCTTCCAATTTTATGCAATGACTTAAATGCCCCCACCTATAAACATAATCCATCAATTCATTGCGCTCATAGTAAGGTAAAGACACGCATTTATGCAATCCTTGTATCACGATCCAAGTGGCCCCTCACCTTGTGCCAAAAATGATCTTAAATTCTCCTCCTCTCTGGAGAGAGAGAGAGAGAGAGAGAGCCTCTCTGTTTCTCTTTCGTATTTTTTAATTAAAAAAAAAGAAAAAGAAAAGAAAACGGTCATTTGCGTTTCAACAACGTAAAGTCTATCTATATATATCAAAGCTATTTTTTTTTATAAACTTTAAATATTTTTTTCCTTGAGCTTCTACATATTTATTGTTTTTCTGTAGGATCTATCTTGATTCGTGTTTTCACATAGAATATGTAAATATTCAAATGATACAAGTATTATTATTAAGCACAAACTCCTATAATAAAATAGACTAATTAATTATTTATTTCAAATCATCGGAAAAAATGGTTATACATATATTGTTAATAATCCTATTTCCTCAATGTCATATGACTCTCTATCTCTCTGCTTTTTTTTTAATAAATATATATTTAATACACAATTTAGTATAATTTTGTATTTTAATTTTAATTTTTTAATTAAAAATAGTGCTAATTCATTAAGATATATTAAAAAGCTTGTACTTCAGTGATAATGAATTTTTATAAGAGATTGTGGATTCAAATCTTAATAGATTAATTCTATTAGGAGTTTTGAGAATGTAAGTTAAAATTTTTTTATTGAATTGTTGAATAAGTCTATATATTTTAATAAATAACAATAACATGAGGGCAATCTACTAGTTTCAAATTAATTAATTAAGAAGCCAAAGAATTTGATTAAGGTCACAATTCTACTGCAATAAAATATAATTCAATCATTTAACATCGTCAAGTACCCCCAATACTATCTCATTATCTATTTTATTTATTATTTGAAAAGAAATTACTTGCAAAACACAATTAAAAAAAAAAGAAAAAAGAAATATAAACATGTAGATAAAAAATATTACAATTATTAATCACCAAAAAAACAGAATTAGTAAAAGTTGAAATAAAAAATATTTTTATACATAAATGAGAGCAAAGATACGCGATTTTTTAAGAATCCAATTTCTCCAAATCACTACTCCCGTTAAAATGTTTGAGTTGGAATATAATAGTGATAAATTGGTTTTATTTATTTATGAAAACTTTAATTAATTTACATTCTCAAAAATTCCATTATGTAAATCAGTTAAAGCTTTTAGATAATTATCAAATTCCTAATTGATATTATAAATAAACCAATATATATATATATAAAAGTAGGATTATCAAAATATAACAAGATTTTCATTTTTGTGGTGCAATGGGCAATGGCATTCTATTTTAGTACCATCAATTTTCCTTCTATATTGCTAACACGAGACAATATTTTGTCCGAGATTGCAAAATGCGCATTTGAAAATTAAATAAAACTAGAAGGACAAGCGAGTCAAATTACTAAAACTAATGACCCATCGTCGTCGTTCGAAAATAAAACCCAAAAAGAAAAATTGCTTTCAAAGTCCATTCTCTCTTTGGAAAAAAAAAAGCTTCAAAACCTTCGTTCCTAAGCTCGCTCCTCCCTTCCTTTCTCTCTCCCTTCCTTCCCTTCTCGAGCACACCTCAATATACTTCTCAATATCTATTTCCATTCACATTATCTCTCGGAAACCGAACAGATCCAAAAACGCCATAACTCTTTCTCTCTCGCTTTATCTATATTGCCAACCAATTGAGATCGCCGGACTGGCTTTTTCACCAAAGTTGACTCAGCACTCTAAAAACAACCGACTCAATTTTTCCAATGGGAGCAGTACCTTCTACGCCGCGTCTCTCCGGCGCTCGCCCTCAGGATACGGCCGAGTATTTAATCGGCTCATTTGTCGGTGAGAAGACGTTTCCTATAAGTTCTGATTTCTGGCAGAAACTTCTCGAACTCCCTCTCAATCTCCATTGGCCTACTCACCGTGTTCACGAAGCCTGCAAGCTCTTCGGTCAGTTTATCACCAAACCTCCTCGGTTTATTAATGTGTAATTCTGCATTATAGGATCTATATTTTCTTTAATTATTACTTTATTTGCATATTAAGCATACTTGTTTCTCTTAATTATGTTTAGTACGGTTGCTTCTCTGTTTATTGGATCTGCAATGCTTTGATAATTATAAAGATTGTGTTTTTGTTTCTGTTTTTAATAATAATTTTTTCTTGTTCTTCTGTGTGATTAATTGTGCAGCACAAAATAATTGCTATACTAGGCATCTTGCGAAGATTTTTATTCACTTGTCATGGTGTTTGCAAGAGTGTGTTTCAAGTTCTGGTGCACCGTCGGAAGTTTATACGAAGGCTGTTAATGCGGTTTACATTTCATCTGTTTTTTTGAAGTACTTAATAGAAAATGCTCAAAGCAATAGCATTGAGGAGTTGCATTTATCATTGAATGAAAGCGAACCAGCACCGAATGATTTGAAAACAGGTATTTCATCTTGTTACATATTTTGTGTTAGCGGCCATTTCTGTTTCCATTATGATTGGGTAACTATTGCAAATTGAAGCCGGCAACAGGGTGTAGGTTGGTTTCAAAGCATCCTTAGGTGGCAACATACAAGTTTTTAACCTATATTCTTCTATTATTCTAAACGGGTGTGGTCTAACCATCTTTGCTTCAAAGGGAAATAGATGCCTATAAGCTGCACTTTTATTGTATTATTTGAAATTAACTTTTCCTACTGCCAGCCATTGTTTTTGAGTCACGAGTTAAAACTAGATTTCATTAAGCTTATGTAAATAAATGCAATTTCTATAGAAGTTTCTGAAAGTTTAGATAAGTTGAACATCTGTTGAACTCTGCCTTAGTGGTCAGCTATACATCCTCAAACATTAGTTGATGGAAAGTAATAGAGGTTGAAAGAAAGTTAAATTTTGGACTTTTAAGGTGTAATTGGAGGATAATCTTGGTGTTTACTTGTAGAATTTATTATCCAAGCCCCAAGAATGCCAGCTTATGTGCAGATCTCTGCTTTTAGCTCTATTGGAGTGTTTGTTTGATAGCTATGCTTTCCAGTACCAGTAAATCATTGTAGGCCTGAACTTTGGTTTTCCGTATGTGCAGATCAAAACATCGAGAACCTTGTCATGCATAGTGTACTTAACTTTATTGGCTCTGTAGAAGTAAGGTACACCATGGATTTCTCACCATGTTGTTTATGTTAAGATTTTGTAGAATTTGCTTTTCTGAAATTGATTATTTTTGTACAAGTCCAAACACATACCTTCTACATCACGAGTTGCTCAATTTCATGCTTGTTGCAATGTCAACCCAACTTCTCTATGGACCATCTCCAGGACCGACCGATAGGAACCCTTTTATTGATGCAGCTATGGCACAGGTTATTGGATGAACTTTGGCTTTATTTCCTGCTCTAAATTCTGAATTCTTCATATCTTGCAATCTTATTAAGAATGCCTGCCATAATTTGCAGGAAAGTTCTTTGGTTAGTTTGGTTGTTCGGAGATTGCTACTTAATTATATAATACGACCTCGTATCCCATTTAACAGTGCATCTTATCCAGTATTTTCTGGTGGGACTCAGCCTGGAGTTTTGCAAAGAGTCAGTTCTGCAGCTGGTATGATGTTCTTATAGAGATTGTTATGTTTCTTTTTCCTTTTTTTTCCTTTTTAAAACTTGAACTAGTTAGTTTTTGCATCTAAAAAGGCTTGAACCACATAGGTCTATTATGTGGAACTTTCTAATAACTATTTACTCTTTTTCAATTTTGTCTCATTTGTATTGCCTGCCATACTTATCAGACTAAGACCGAGGGTATCAATGGCAGTGCATTGTAATTTTTTCCTTCGTCTAAAGTGGAGCATATATTTCTCCAAACTTCTCTCTCATTTGATTTGTATGCTTTTGTTAGCTTTTTTATATTACTTTCTTGAGCCATGGTTTCCTTTTCAAGAATACCATTTGAAACTCAGTGACATTTCTTAGCTTTTCTTTGCATCAATGCTTCTGTTGACATTATATACTTGATTTGCAGCCACTTTTGTTTTATTGCCATTCAATTATTTGGTCAGTTCAACTGGTGATGGCTCAAGAAATCCATTGGCAGACTGCAGTCTTCATGTGTTGCTTATTCTTAATTATTATCATAAGTGTGTTGTGGGTGAGGAGGCCATGACAGACAGAAGTGATGACAGTGCCACTTCAGATTCTATTTCCAAAGGAAAAACATACTTCTCTGACAATCCTTACTGCAAAGCCTTGGAAAATGCAAGGGATATAGAACGTGAGATCTTCTTTTCACCAATTTCTTTTTCAAATTGCTTTGGCATGTTGTATGTTGTTGCAATATTGCTGAATAGTACCATGCTTTCAGTTGATCGTGTAGACATCGAGGGGAATGCGCCCAGTGGGTCACATGTGAGATTGCCATTTGCATCTCTGTTTGATACTCTTGGCATGTAAATATCTTACTCTTTTACCTCCATAACGACAGTAATTTCTTTCGTTTGAGTTATACTAGTGATTTCGCTAGATTGGATGCATAAATGCAAATACATGTGTAGGCACCCAGACAAAAAGGAAACAAAAACAAAAAAGAAACAAAAAACTCATTGGCTCTAGTTTTGAATATCATTGGTGATCTAACAACTAATCCTGCTTGCTTGGTTGCTCCAATTTTCATTGATCTTAGTAACAAAGTTTGAAAGTTTTATCACCCAATCTATCCAGAGACGTATCTGAGAATGGCATTCAGATTTTTTGTTACCAAGGGTTGTTGGAATTAGAAATTTCTAGAATTTTGTAACTTCTTAAAGGACTTTACTGGAACCTTTATATAAGAATGGGCTTAATCTGTCTGTCTCTTGAAGCATTGCCTTAACAGGTTTTCCCTCTACAGGTGCTTGGCTGATGAAACAGCAGTCCTATTGCTTTACACATTGGTGCATGGAAACTCTGACTTCTTGGAGTATGTTTTAGTGCGAACTGATTTGGATACATTGGTACGAAGATCAGATTGATTTTTTTTCCTGCTTGTTGACTTGTTGTAGAGAAAAAAAAAAGGTTCCAAAATTTTGACCTAAGGCATTACCAAATGAAAGGCTAGGCACTTGTGAGGCAAACTACTAGATAATGGAATTGGGAAGCTTTGATTCCATTACCCATGGTTATAGATTTTATGATCACGTCTGTAATGATCATCATAGTTGCCTTGGCCATTACAGTGGAAACTTGTCAATTTTTTACCTTTTTTTTTTTTCACTAAGTCTTGCTAGAATCTCTTAGTTTATGCAGACATTAACTATATTGGTGAAATTTTTTACCGTATGCCATGTTTTCAGAAGGAAATTTTTGTGGGACTGGTGTTCTCATTCTAGCAAAATTATTAAAAAACAGTATGTCAAAGACAATTTGCTACAATTTATAAACAATTCATGTTCAGTGGTTGCTATGGTTGCAGTCTTGATGATCTTGTAACTGCAACTGTGACCACAAATACGATCATGACCATGATTATAAACCATGTCAGTATATCCATTTTGAAGAAGGCAGTTTTTAGCCCTAGGCCTAAGGTGACTGCTGCTTCTAGGGTGTACTTCTGCCAGCTTTTACCTGGTGTAATCTACATTAGAGGGCAAAAAGAAAGAAACTAAGGAACCATCATTATATTCTTCTGTGGTATTTCAAAACAATCCTCAAAATTATATTGTTTTGACTCAATTTTTTGGATTTGTTTTCATATTCCTCATACTTGTTAGGATGTTAATGGTGTTTATACAAGCATATGCTACACAATGAGTGTATTTTAGTTAAATAGGTTTTGTTCCACATGTTATTTAGGATGTAACTAGCTCTTGAGATCAATGAGATTCTTTGATTTTCTTGATATTTGAGTTGCCATGTCATATTTACTTTTGCTGTCACATCACTATAGTGCAGCCTGATGATGGTTTTTTTTTTCTTTTTTCTTTTTTTTGCAATGAGATCTGCAGTTAATGCCAATTCTGGAAACACTGTACAATGCTTCAAAGAGGACGTCGAATCATATATACATATTGCTGATTATACTTCTTATACTTAGTCAAGATTCTTCTTTTAATGCAAGCATTCACAAGATGGTAAGAATCACCTCCATTTGCCAACTTTCAACCTTATTTCCAAGATGTGTATTATTTCTATTATGTTATTATTTCCTCATACTTTTCATACAGGTACTGCCAAGCGTTCCATGGTATCAAGAACACCTTCTTCACCAAACATCCCTTGGTTCCTTAACAGTCATAATTCTTATAAGAACCGTGAAGTATAATCTATCTAAGCTGCGGGTATGTTTTTAAGTACTTAGCCAAGTTAATCATGTTCAAATTTTTGCAGTGATCTTCTTGAAGTTTTTATATCTGCCTGTCTTGGCTCATGTCTTGAGAGTTGTTACATGCAGTAGATCTTTTAATATAGAAACATATCAAAGTTCTCATATGTTTTATCACAACCTTAAAATCCATTAGGTTCTTGTCCAAATAGTCCATGTTCTTTTATTGATTCTATTATATTTGTATTTACTTAGTTTGATTGTAACTGTTGTTATATATGTATCAAAAACTTTTTCCACTCTGCCATTTTGTAACATTTTAAATTTGTAACAGGATCTCTATCTCCATACAACTTGTCTGGCAACTTTAGCAAACATGGCTCCTCATTTTCATCGTTTGAGTGCATATGCATCACAGAGACTTGTTAGCCTATTCTATATGCTCTCACGCAAGTATGGCACTCCTATTTGTTTTCTTTCCTTCATTTACCACATTACACTAACACTTAAATAACTCTGACGCAGAATTTTCTTTTCTGGTATTCTTGCATTATCCTTTGTCTGTTTTTTTTTTCTAAAGCGATATTGCATGTTTAGGTATAACAAACTTGCAGAGCGAATAGATGATAAAGTGGGGAAGAGTGGCTCTTTGGGGCAAGAAAGCCTTGCTGAAGATCTGGTAATCATTGTGGTCACTGTCTATGATATGACTCTCACAGTGGGAATGTTATGCTATTGAAGGCTACCGCTGTTTAATTTTTTTTTTAATGTTAGCTAAACTGAATTATTTTTATTGCAGTCGGCAGAATTGCATATTTACACTGACTTCTTGAGAATTGTCCTCGAAATATTAAATGCGATTTTGACTTATGCCTTGCCACGCAATCCTGAGGTAAAATGTCATGTGCATAGTCAGTATTATGTGTCAGCCTCTTCCCTTACAAGAACAATCATGTTACTTCCCATTGTTTTTCCACATTTCTTTCTTTGGCAGGTTGTATATGCCATAATGCACAGGCAAGAGGTTTTTGAGCCATTCAAGAATCATCCGCGCTTCAATGAACTGATTGAAAATATTTACATGGTATTATCTGTAGTTTTTTGTATGTAAACTTAGATGTTCCTGAATTCATTGAAGCAGAACTCTAGGCAGCTGTTTATATACCTGTTTATCAGCTTTTCTCTATATCTGAATAATGCTCCTTTTCCATAACTGATTTTGTTTCAATAGTAAATGATTCTCGTGGCCTCTGTAGGTTTTAGATTTTTTCAATAGCCGGATCGATTCCCAAACACATGATGGTGAATGGTCAGTGGAGAAAGTCCTCCAACTCATAATTATGAATTGTCGATCATGGCGGACTGAAGGCATGAAGGTTAAAACAACTTTGGAAATCAGAAGTCATGCCTAACATTGAATGTATTATCTCAAGAATTTTTTTTTTTTTTTGACATTTTTATGAGTTCTTTATTGTTTTTGGCAGATGTTTACTCAATTGCATTTCTCATACGAACAAGAGAGTCACCCAGAGGAGTTCTTTACTCCATATATTTGGCGCCTAGCTATATCCCACTGGTACTGCTCCTCTCTCTCTCTCTCTCTCTCTCGACTAGCTTTGAATCATGCTAGAATTAGTTGTATAGACAAACTAATAAATATGTTTTTGTCACATACTCTTTTTAGTGGACTGAGCTTTGATCCCAGTGCCATACATCTGTTTCCAGTTGATCTGCCAATAGAGGTAAGTTCTAGTCTGCTGTGAAGTTCAAAGAGATCAACATGTTGAAGTGGGAGTCCGTCTTTTGTTTAATATCCTTTCCGATCTTCAAATGTTTCATCTTTTGAGAGCTATTGAGCCCTGAGTTTTATGCCATTTGTTTTCTTCTATTTGTGGAAATGGCAATTGCAATCCATGTTGTTGAATTCTATTCAGTCCCTCTCAATTATCGTTCTTAAACTGAACTCTTGTTTTTGCTCTATTCAGTGTTGAAATCTATGTCAAGTTGCACTAATTGTTGATTTGCTTTCATGAATAATCAACCAGAAGCAGTTACTATTTGTAACATTAATTATTCTGTTTATGTCTTGAAAAAGAACCCAATTTTGTTTTTTAAAACTAATCAAAATACAAGAGGAGCACCCATTCTCGGCCTCTAAAATTAGGAACGTTTTTCTGTAAAATTTTATAGCAGGGTGGTTTCCTCTGATTTTGACATGAGAGGATTTCTTGTGAGGGAGGTTGTGAGACTCAAACTAGGAAGGTTAGGATAGGGTGCTTGTTGAATCAGCATTAGATAAGATAAAGCTATCTGTTTTGGGTAGAATTCAGATCGAGGAATGGTGTAATGAGGTTGCTGGCACTGCAGCGTGAAGAAGGGAATGAGAGAGGAACTTCATGTCTCTGTGGTGAAGCAATTCTTTTTTTCGCTTGGTGGGGTGATTTCTCCTGCCTACTTGGAAGATAGACTAGATAGTTTACTTGGTTGCTGTTTGGCCTCTTCATTGCGCATTTATCTTCAGTGAAATCCACTAATGAGAGGCTCAAACTGAAACAAAAAGAAGATAATACTAACCATCAAACCAACAAATTCTTAGGAAATGTATTATACATGCAAATTATTCCTTAATCAACTATTAAAATTGAAAACAATCTAAGGAGGTTTATGGGGACACAACTACCTGCTGACATTCTCGTTTGCTTGCATGTTTGGTTTTTGAAATTACACTGTTATGTGCAACTACTCTTTGTTGGCTTTGAAGGAAGTAATAATTTATGACTTTATTTTGATTTGTTCTCCCCCTGGATCTTTTTTCCCCCACTTGATTAGTTACTTCTTTAGATTGACAGTTTGTTTGCTTTGCTGCAGAAACCAAATGATGATGAAGTGGATCAAAATAAGTTTCAAAATACGAGTCTGAATGACCGCAGAGTTCTGCTTGACCTGTAGTGGGTGCAGTATAAATATATCTCCCTATTAATGTTCATACTTAGTGGTTATGTAAATATATGAAATAGTAGTAATGTATTCTTCTCATTCTTTCCTGTTTATATGCTTGGAATATTGTAGAGGATTTTTTTTTCCCATATATATGAAAATTGTGATACACGATGTAATGAATAAGAGAGGATGCTAAGTACTAGTTTTCCTAGTATGAGGTAAAAGGAATAATGAATAAAATCTGGATTCCAATTATCTGGAGAGGTGATTCTTGGCGCAGCGCAGATTCAAAACTGTAACAGGTACATAATTGTTGCATTTGCGAGTCGTGACTAGCTTTAACATTTTAGCTGACGTTGATTTATCAATCAGGTTTGTTTTGTTGTTGGATCTTCTGATACAAGATTGTTTTAAGTTTAAATTCTTTGGTAGATCAAATGGTTTTTTAATTTTGCTTGATAATTATATGCCCCTATATCGTAACGTGTCTGCTTGGGTGCGGGAAATGGATCTCTATTGGCATCGCAATTTTCCTCTGCATATTTTTAGACTTAAGCAATTGGGTTCTTGCTTTTTTTCATGTATGGTGCTGGATTTGGGACATTTGGAATCTGCATGTATTATTCTGTTCGTTCCAGTTCAGCCAGAGTTATATTTGAGCGTCACATTCATTTTTAACAAATCGTAACGTTTAACCATATGTTACTGAGATATGCCCGTTGAACCTTGTGTTGGTTTATACAATAGTGTTTTATTGCAAAAATCTAATTTGGTTTATACAATAGGTTTTTGGTTAAAAAAGTTATTAATTGTTGTGAAGTCTTGACCACTGTTGAACGGGCTAAATTGGATCGGTTAGTTATGTCTACCATTTTCATGAAGCCATCATCTTAAATCGATTGCTGCGGCAGAGATTTGAGATTTGTGATACCTATTATAAGACCAAAATAATTTCCACATGGTAGGATTGTTCGAGAGTTTTCTGGTACTTCAGTTGTCACTAGTAGCTTACAATCTTGTCATCTTCCTAGCACAATACAAAGGTGAGGAAAAAAAATGCTTCAGGAATATCATATTTAAATTGTAAAGATCAATGACACTTTCTCTTACATATTTTGGTACTGCAATTGCATTCTTTAATCCAAGTATCCACATTCACACATGAAACATGAATGGTACATAAAATAGATACTACACAAGGCTTCCACCCTTGACAAACTCGGTGAAGGCCAATGCAACCAAACCCAACATGGCAAATCTACCGTTCCACAGCTCAGCATCAGATGTCATCAACCCCTCTGATTTAGATTCCACACTGACCCCCTGAAACAATGGGATCAAAGATGCTATTGAGAGCACAATACTTGTTCCAAGGAACCATGTAAATCCACCGTCAGATATTTGTGAGAAAACGTCCTGGCCCTTAGATAGTTCAACTGCCATCGCAGCGACAAAGCCTATCATGGCAAGCCTGCCATTAATCCTCTCTGGTGCCGGTCCACTAAATGCCAACACATCAGAGAACTTTGTGCTGACCTGTTAATCACCATACCTTTATTAGCTTTAGACGTGCAAATATAAAAGCAATCACAAATTCCAACATGCTACACTTAGTTTGCTTTAGCTAAAAATTTACAACATATTTCATGCTATATTAACTCTTACCTTCTGCTTAGGAGAAGCATTTGGCAGTTTCTGCGGATTCGGAGGCGTAGTGATAGGTTCTGTCGATTTCTCCTTTTGGTCATCCTGCAAAAGGAATCAAGTATTAACACAAATCCTAAGAACAATCTTCCATACTGTATGAAGGTAGTCGAAATAGAGTCCGAAACTTACCAGCTCGGCCATGCACCGCACCGATCTGCTAGCATTGCCACGTAGTCGTGGCATATACGTAGCAGGAAGCAAGTGGCTCAATCGAGAACGGTTTGTAGTTAGACTAGTTGCTACAGGAGTTGCAAGGATTGCTCGCACGGCTGTTGATGTGGCCATCACTAATTAACAACAGTACTGCTGATCTTCTCTCCCTACTTTAGACAAGAGAGCCGAAACTAAACAACTTGATTGGTACCTAGCCTGCCTAAGCTCTTTATAATGCAAGCAAAGGGCAATGCACAGGAAGTGTTATGATCAGTGAAGTGTAACAAGTCACTTAATATGGTGCTGAAACTGCTCTTGTTGCTGTTGGAATATAAAGCCCCTAAAGGCATGAGACGAGAGGATATTTCGCATCCACGTCGTGTAGATCTAACTTGGAAACGAGATCCATTCACGTGGGTTCCGTTGTCCACACAACATCAAGTGGGTGACGTGGCAACCTTGGAGTCACTAGTCCACTAAGAATCTGAGGCCAGTGTTGTTCTAGGTTTTTCAGCTGAGTAAGGACTAGGACATTCTAGTCATCGAACTGGAATCAGGCCACGATTTTACCACATTAATTTGACACGTCCAAAAATACAAACTACTTCACTGTTTCTTTTCCATTGCTCTTGGACTAGTTTTATTAATTGTGCAATAAGTAGGGGTTCTCAAGTCAAAAGTTCTTATTTCCTAGTACTTATTTAAATCGTCCGAATTTTATTCAGATATCCCCTAAATTATCTGAATTAATTTTTTGATGATCATACCAATTACTCATTCTCTGATATTTGTAAAATCCTGTTATCAAAACGGATTAGGATAATTCGAAAAATTTAGTTTTTTTCGAACAATAGGTAACCCTATTATTTAAAAAATAAACTAAATAGTCTCTTTAGTTTGAATAATTAATCAATCAATTTCTATATTTTAAAATCTATTGTAATTTAGTCTTTTTTAATTTATTTTGTGTTTATATTTTAATAAATAGAAATAAATATATAAAAATTAATGGAAAAAAGATGTTTTTTAAGATAAGATAATATTAAATTAACTATGATTAATATTAAAAGGCTAAATAATTATTTTTTGAGAAAAAAGGAAATATTTAATTTGTTTTACAAATCTAAAATACTAATTTATTATTTTACTGTAGTATATCTTATGAAAGAATTTGTTGAACACATAACTTTAAGCCCAACACATCAATGTATACAAGTAAATCGTATCCCTTACGTAAATTGTAAGAATTTGCGCCCAACACATCTTATAATATCCCTTACAGTGCAGGGATTCGCTTGGCCTTTGGGTCTATTATATGGCATGCATTTTCTAGAATGGCTTGGGGGCTTATTGGATTTGGTCTTCCCCTCTGCTTATCATTCATAGACCCTGAAACCATTGGCGTATTGGCATGATATCTGTTGTTTCTCTTACATTAAATTATCTACTTATTTTATGGATCCAAAAAATTTAAATACATGAAAAACATAACAAAAATCCCAAAAAGAAAAAAGAAAATGATGATCATGGTTCATAAAAAATAACTAAACTCAATAGAAACTGCAGAAATTAATGCAGCAATATGCCTGTCACTAATCCTAGAAAATATTAGTTGCAAAAAAAGTCTTCAGCGGCCTGACCCTTAAAATAAGCAACATTTTTTACTCTTTTCAAGTTTTATTTTCAGCATTTAAGCATCTGACATGTAACATCTTACTTGACATGGCTTCTGGACTTAATTAGTATAGCTGTAATACAGCAGCTTCCCCGCAGTTTTAGAGACATACCTGGAAAGCTTTTGTAAGAATTTCAACAACTTGTTCCCCGTTCCCACAATATACTAAGTAAACCTCACAATCTTTCTGAATTTCCGTTAGAAAATAAAATTTAATCTTGAAATGCTTTAGCTTGCCATGAAACACTGGATTTAAAGAGATTGGTATGTCTGATTGATTATCAAGTTAGTTCTTGCTACACCCGATTCAAATCTTGTAGAATTTTTCTTAGCCATATTGCATGGTTTCTTGCTGTAGTTTCAGCAACAAACTCAGCATCTGTAGTGCTCTGAGCAAAGATTTCTTGCTTCTTGGAACATCAATTGATCACACATGAACCAAAACTGAAGCAGAAACATATCGTACTTTCCATATCATCAACTGAATCTACCCAATCACTATCGAAAAAGCCTATTAACTTAGAATTTTGACAATTTATATACTTAACAGCGTAGTCAACAATTCCCTTGATGTATCTCACACTAAGTTTAGCAGCCTGCGTTCTTCACTTGCATAATGCATAAACCTGGACAAAAGACTTACAGCCTGTACAATATCAGGTTTGGAGGCAGTGAGGTACATGAGTCATCCGATCATGCTTCTTTAATAATTGTCATCAACCTTGGCTGCACTATCAGTCTTGCATAACTTCATTCTAGCCTGCATAAGAGTATCAGTAGGCTTGCAGCCTTCTATATAAAACTTGTTTAAGATCTCTTTGACATACTTGCACTAACTAATGAAGATTTCATTCTTCTGTTGCCTCATTACTAAACCCAGAAATTAAAAAATTAGTCCCAAGTTAGTCATCTCGAATTCGTTTAGCATTTCAGCTTTGAAAACATCAATAAGCTCCTGATTACTTCTTGTGATTAACAGATCATCAACATAAACAAAAATAACAACAATGTTAATGCCTACCTTCTTTACATACAAAGTTGCCTCACTTACACTTTTAACAAAGCTTAAGCTTAGCAAGTAATCATTTATATGGCTATACCAAGCCTTTGGTGTCTGCTTAAGGCCATATAAAGCCTTTTCAAAAAGTGCACTTTTTTCTCTTGACCCTGCACAACAAAACCTTTAGGTTGCTAAATATAAATTGTTTCTTCTAAGAAACCATTTAGGAATGCAAACTTTACATCTAGTTGGAACATTTTTTAACCTTTTTGAGCTGTCACAACAAGCAATAATCTAATGGTGTCAAGTCTGGTTACATGAGCAAAGGTCATTGAAAAATCCACACCAAAATCTATGCGTATCCTATTATAACTAGCTTTGCTTCGTGCTTATTTACTGACCTATCAATATTGAGTTTTATTCTGAATATTCATTTTACTTCAATATCCTTCATGCTGTGGCTATATGACATTTAAAAGACTTCCAAAAAAAATAATTTAAAAAAAAATTTAGAATCGCCACCTAGTATTAAAAGTAACTAGAAATCTAATAATAACACTTGGATTTAGAGATTTTGAAATAAGAAGTTGATTATACTTTTAGGAAGATAACAATTAACCAAAGACATTCTTTCTAAAAAAAAAGTATCATATTTGATTTAATTCTAAAAATATCTCATAAGAATTATATTTACTAAATTATTTTCTAAATCTATTTCCAAATTTATTTGTCATCTAAATCAAATTAATTTTTTTTATTTTTTGTTTGTGACATTATATTAAATTAATGTTAAGCCTCAAGGTTGAAAGTCGTCTCAGTTTAGCATCAAATCCAATTACATAAGCTGAAGATATGCACATGTACAACTCATAAAAATTCCAAACCAAAATTGAATCGAGAATTGACCCAATTAATTAAATCCTGAAACAGCATTCACCATTAATTAAAAATGGCAGCAAAATAACGAATAATTTGCAAAAATAATAGTGAGTGAACCCCTAAAATTCTAAACTTTAAAACACAAGCTAAGAACAAACACATAAACACACCCTAAAAATTTTAGATTTAAATAAAATTAAACACTAGATTTAATTATTAAATTTGAAACAACTCACCCTAATAAATTAGATAATGGCAGAATAACCAAATGAATTGCAACAATAATAACAAACAAACTCCGATAATTATAAAATTTAAAATACAAGTGTGTGTATATATATATAAACTCTAAAAATTTTAAATTTAAATAATTAAAATAGACCTATAAAAATGAATAAAAACGAAAACTCACTCTAGAATTAAAGCTCTATCAATTTTACCCTCCAATTACACATTAGGGATCTGATTGAAAAACATGTTATTATTAATTACCAAAATAAAGAGACCATACAACTTCCAGGACGAAACTTTATATAAATTCACCCTTCTCTCCCGTTTGAAATGAAGAACCAGAAACAACCCATTAATGGCCGAAAGTTGCATGAAAAATGTCCATTTTTTTATTATTATTATTTGTGTGTTTTTAACCCCTAACAACTCACCTCTCCCTCATATACCTATGGAATTTATGCCCAAATTGTGGGGAGCTTTTTAGAGAGAGAAAGTGAAGCAATTGATGAGAAGTTTTACCTTTTGAAGTTTTTTCTGGTCGAAATGGAAAGAGAGATGCTCAAGGTTAACTCCACTTCCCTTCTCGTAGTGAAGAAGAGAAAATGGCAGAAGCATTTGAGAGAACAAAGACCAGCTTTTTTTTGTTTAACTTTACTGTCCTTTTTTCTTTTCCCTCCTCCTCCTCCTCCGTTTGTTTCTGTCACCCTCTCTTCCTTTTAAAATCATCCCCTTTCTATATTAACCCTTTGATCTTCTATCCTGGATCATGGCCCTTCCTTTCCCATCCCTAAAAATCCTCCTACTGTCATTACCATTTTTCCTTCTTTGCAGCCGAGAGTTATGGTGAGGGTTACTGAGCCATGACCAAGCATGGCCTAATGAGGATGATTCAGTGTGAGGGAACGGACAGGTGAGGTTGCAGACCAGGAGAGTTGGTGGTCTCTAGTGAACTAAAGAATGCTCTCTGTTTCTCTCTTCTGCAGATCGACGCTGCCGGTGGGGTTGGAGTTGGGTGGGTTGGGGTCGTTCGGAGAACATTCAAGTTCCTCCTGTCGTCCACGCGCTCCTCCCAATTTCATCCTTCCATGCTTTGATTTCCTTTCAATTGAGTCCCTCGAGTGGAGTATTTTGGTCCTTCTTGTCTCAACTTTCACTGAACAGGCCCCTATTATTTATAAATTGACCCACAAAAGTTTTGAATTAATTACAATTAAAACCCTAAAATCAGAAATTAAAACGCTTCTCTCTCTCTCTCTCTCTCTCTTAAATGTTCTTATTTATGATAAAATGATGAATGAGAGTTTAAACTAAAAATTCAAACATTAAGGTGCTATTTGATAATAAAGAATAAAGTGGTTGGAACGAGAATGAAAGTTTTACTCCCACATTATAGATGTTTGGTTAAAAGGAATGAAGTGAAAATGAGAATAAAAATTTACATACAACTTCATTCCCACATAAGATGTGGGAAGAAAAACAAGGAATATGAATGAATTTTTTTTCAAAATAATAATATATTTTATTTATTTATTATCTATTAACTATTTTTACCACCGTCACAACCATCACTAGTACCACTACCACTACCATCACCATCACAACCACCAACACCATCACCACTATCATCACAACCACTACCACCACCACCATTGCAATCATTACCGCCACCACCGCCACCACTAGAACCACTACTCGTTATAATCACAATCACCACCATTACTTTTATTATTTTTACGACCGTTATAGTTTAATAAAGTTATTTTTTTAATCATTATTTTTATTTGTTTAAAAAATCAGATATTAAAAAATTTAAATTGCATTCGATTCTTCATTAGTATGTCAAACACGGTATGAAAATACAAATATCATTACGATTCCTTAATTTTCATTCCAATTCCCGCATTCTCATTTCCATTATTCTATTCATGATTATCAAACAACACCTAAATGAAATTGAAATATAACAATAACAATAACAATTAATAAAAACAAATAATCATGACAAATATATACTAAAAAAAAAAAAAACTTAAATCATCATAAGTCAAAAAATTGGGTTATAACATCTGTTTTAAAGCCTCTCAACAAGCCGTCATGTATGATTTTTCTCAATCATTTATAGCTCGACTTACATAGCAGTAATCCATTTCTACTTTTGCATTGCTTCCTGAACATCTAATGGTTCCATCACAACAACATTACACCTTGCATACATGTTAGAAAGTAGTTTGGTGCTCCTAACTAGCTGCTTATTAACTTCATATTTATTATGTTGTAATCCTCTAGAATGCTGAATACTGTCTCACTTAAAATCTAGTTCCACACTTACCCTCCATAAAAACAACATTTTTACTGATGATGAATTTTTCAAACTGTGGCTGAAAGATCCTATAGGCCTTTGAGGTGCTGCTATAGCTTATGAAGATTTCAGGTCCAACTTTCTTTTCCAATTTATCTCTTTTAACCTGAGAAATGTAAGAGAAACACAAACAATCAAATACTTTTAAATTGAACGGTGAAGGTTTATGACTAAACCATGCCTCATAAGGAGTCTGATTTTCCAAAACTCTGGTAGGCCATTTGTTCAATAAGAAGATTGTTGTATTTACAGCCTTTGCCTAAAATATTTTTAGGCAATCCTTTTTCATGCAACAAGTAATGAGTCATCTCTATGATGGTTTTATTCTTCCTCTCATTCCATTTTGCTGAGGAGTATAAGGCGCAGTGGGTTGATGTTCAATGCATGCCTCCTCATAGAATTTATTAAACTCGTCTAATGTGTACTCCTTTCTATTACCAGACCTCAAGATCATCATCTTGTAACCGCTTTGGTTCTCAACCCATGTTTTGAATCTCTAGAACACACCAGCCATTTCATATTTGAACTTGATAAAATAGATCCAACACATTCTTATCAAATCATCAATAAAAGCAATGTAACACTTATTGTCTTTAAAAAATGATGTTTTTTTGTAAGTCCCTCTAAGATTAATGTGCACAAGCTGAAGCTGGGTTGAGGACCTCCAAGCCTTTTGTAGAAAGGTAGCTTGGTTTGCTTACCATATCGACAGGCTTTACGACTTGATAAGCTATCCTCCAATGAATCCAAGCCTTGTGCCATCTCATATTTCTGCATCAACAAGATAGAAAAATGGTGCAAATGTCATAATCTCTTGTGGTATAGATCAATGACTCTCATAGAAGTTGATATGCAGCCTGTTCCTTTTCCATCAGATCAAGTAAGAACCTTTTTTTCTTCATCTTGAAGGAAATACTTCCAATACCTCTGAATCTTTTATCACACGTTTTTTATTTTCAAAATACTCTTTAAAACCTTTCTCAAGTAATTGATCAACACTAAACAGGTTAATATCTAGAACATACAACACATCAGAAATCACTTTAACTCCTGTAATAGTTTCAATTGCAACAAAATCCTTACCTTTAATAGAAATAAACTCTCAATTCCCAATTTATATCTTTGAAATAAAGGTTTTTCAAGCTTATTGAAAGGTTTAGCATTGTTTTTCATGTGGTTTATACAACCACTATCCACTAGCTAGGTCTCACTCTACTGCTGTTTGTATAGAAAAAAGCTACAAATACTACTACTCCTCCTCCTCCTCCTTTTGATTCACAGCTTGTGCATCATTGACTTGTTACCTCCCTTTGTTCTTGCAGATTTTGTCCACATGCCCCATTTGATTACACTTGTTGCATTTTACATCAAGTTTGCTCCAATACTTGGAATGATGATAATTAGTTCTACCACAATATTGACAGATAGGATAATTGACTCCCTGATTGTTACTGTTGCCAATACCACTGTTGTTTGTACCTTGGGTTCCTTCTGCACCATGATAGCCCATGTTCTTTTTCCATTTTTTCTTTTTGCCTTTGCTTAAATCTTGATTTTATAGAATCTGCATCTTGACCTACATTGCTCCTTCAAGTGTGACTCCATCTATTATCTACTTTCTCTACTCATGAGCTTCCAATGCATTTAGGAACTCAACCAATGTGATCTATGTGAGGTCTTTAATTTCCTTTAATGCAGAGATCTTAACCTCAAATATCTCTCGTAATGTCACCAACAACTTCTCGACCAACCTACTGTCAAGCATCACTTCACCAACGAACCTTAGTTTGTTCCAGCAGTCTATATGCATACTCCTTTACAGTCTTAGAGTCCTTCATCCTTTGCAGCTCAAATTCTCTTTTGATGTTCACGACCCTCAAGCTCCTTGTTGTAGCTTTGCCTTGAAATTCAAGCTTGAGATATTGCCAGATTTAAAAAGTTGTTTCCAAGTTCATGATTATGGTAAACAGCATTTCAGATACCGCTAAATATAAGCAGGTCTTGGCCTTAAAAAGCTTGGATGTTTTCTCCTTTTGATTCCTGAACTATGGGATCATCACCTAGTGGTAGAAAAAGTAGCTCTTCTTCCACTGCTTCCCAGATATCTCATGCATGCAAATATGCTATCATTTTGACAGCCAACAACTTGTAGTTTTCACCAATGAAAATAGGAGGTTGAACAGGAGAAAAATTGTTTGAACCCATTTTGCACAGGTAATAAGAGTTAGGAAGGAAATGTGTTTGTTTTGAAAGACACACATACATACTCAGATTGCACACAGATCCCTTTAAGAAGTAGGCTTTGATACAATATATATATATATATATATATATTTACAGTAAATTGTCTACTTATTTCATTGATCAAAATGATTTAAATACATGACAAACATAACATAAATTTCAAAAAAATACGTTGATCATGGTTCATAAACAATAACCAAACTCAATGGAAACTGCAGAAATTAACACAGCAATATGCTGCCACTAATCCTAGAAAATAAGTCTTTTGTTGCAGAAAGAGTCTTCAGCAGCTTGAGCCTTAGGATGAATGGGCAACATCCTTGACACTTTCAAGTTTTATTTTGAGCTCCTTTAACATCTCGCATGTCACGGCTTACTTAGCATGACATCTGGATTTAATTAGTCCTGCTATAATACTGGGGCATATCTCGAACAATATCTAGTCAATTACATGTTCTTTTTCTTCCTATAGATGCCCTTTGATTGGCAGATTATTGCACCAGCTACCCCAATATTTTATCATCAAATGCGAGTGTCAATCGAAGGCAGTGCCGTTTTTATCCTTTGATTACGTCCCCTGATCTTTAAATTTTATAGTGTCAACGAAATTGATAAATCATGTCTCACCAAACAAGGCTGAATTACTTAAAAGGCTATCCATGAAAGCACCTTTTGGTTTCAGTATTAACGGCGAAGATTTCAAATAGACAAGAAACGTTCACATTCTATTAACAAAAATGGCAATGGTATGGTTCTTCAAAGCAACACAATAGTAATTGTCAACACCCAGACATGTAATTCTATCTTTCCAATCTGCGCACAACCGAGTGGTTTATTTGTTTCTTTGGGGTGAAATTACTGGGCTGGGGTGTTGGCAAACTTGTAGAGATAATCAGAAAACACACTATATTCTCTTTCACCGCCCACTCCATCAACTGGTACTGCATCAAATATTTCTTTCAAGTCTTCTTTTGCTAGCTTCACTGCCAAGGATCCAATATTGTTATCAAGGTTCTTCAGCTTAGTTGTCCCTGAAAAACATGATTAAGAAGGTTTGTAAGAATTCCTATCCAGAAAAAAAGCTGATGGATTCCGAGAATCATCCAATAACTATATAATTACATCATGCTGAAGTCTTTCATTACATGAACCACCTGTTACATAACGCTGGACAGCAAGGTTGTAGTGTAATCTGTCATAGAATAACATCAACACTTATGGTAATTGTAAGCCGTACCAGGGATTGGAATTATGTCATCTCCCTGGTGGAGAAGCCATGCCAGAGCTAGTTGAGGTGGAGTGCAGGCATGCTTTACAGCCAGGTCAGCAAGACGAGCATATAGAACTTTGTTTTTCTCTATATTCCCTTCAGAAAACCGCGGATGCATAGCCTATGGAAGGAGTATCAAATGAGTTCAAGAGAATTACGCGCCACCGAAAATTAAAACAACATATGTGCTATGTGCCCGAGTGCAGGTGTGTAGACATATTTTAGCAGTCAGATACCAGTATACTCTCACTGGGCAAGCTCTCCACAACCGACTTCCCAGCAAAGAATCCCCGGCCAAGAGGGCTATATGCCACTGTCCCAATACCAAGCTCTCTGAGAAAGGACATAGTAAAGGATCAAAGAACTAGTGATGGCCCTGCATTATTTTTAATATTCTAAAACCATCCTAAATTCGACCAAGTGGCAGACACTGAAGAGAAAAAAGTTTATTTGCAACGGAGGAGAAGAGCCTAAAGTTTGCTGAAATTATGCAGAACATCAAAGCTCAATAATACAAACCGGCATATTGGAATTATGTCCTCTTCTATTTCACGACTCCATAGGGAGTACTCCATTTCCACGGCTGTTATAGGATGAACAGCATGTGCTCTCCTGATGGTGTCTACACTGGCTTCAGATAATCCAATGTACTTAATCTTTCCCTCTTGTACTAGCTTCTTCAGCTCCCCCATCTACCAGAAAGATTCAACCAAAGTTGATGAGGTTTTTTTTTTTTCACAAATCAATGATATTCAAAGGAGTGTAGGAGATTGGGATGCTGAGAGATTTTGCAAAGAAAAGTTCGCAGAAAAATTGCTCTTGGTTTTAAGATTGGCTTGGTGCTTTTACATATACTTCACCTAACAGGAAAGAGATGAAAGAGTTCATACTAATCAGAGAGTAATATAGTGATCATGAGGCAAATCATTCAAGCTGTTTAATGCAGGCTTTGGGGTACAAATCTGTTAAAGGAAATACCCTGTAATCCCAAATATTACGCCTCCTGTAATCATCGGAATTTCTGATGTCTTTTTTTCTTAAAAAAATCTGTTGTTTTCAGGATACTTTCCTGTTTTTATGCTTTTGTAGTAGGGTGAGCTCCTACTTAGTGCTTTTTGATAATGAAGATTCTTAACTATCAAAAAAAGAATAGATTGAAAAAACACCAAGCAAGCAATCAAAGTTGATTAGTTAAAAAGATTTTATACTTGATTCCATAAACCGAGAGGAAAGAACGAGGAGGGCGAAGATGTGAGAGAAATAACAGGAACTGCAACAACTATAAAGGAAATATTCAGAACTCTTACAGTATCCTCTATTGGAACTGAAACGTCCACACGATGCTGATAAAACAGATCAATGTAGTCCACACCAAGGCGCTTAAGACTAGCTTCACAGCATTGTCGCACATATTCTGGGGTACCTTTGACATTGAATTGGAACCCCTCTAACCTTGTAATACCAAATTTTGTTGCTAATTGAACATTTTCTCGAGGAAGATGCTTTAAAGCCTGAAAATTAATGGGGAGAATTAGCTTAAAAATATGTAGGCCTTTGTACTTTATATTCTCAAAATGGACAAGATTTTCTCGAACTTATATCCTACCAGAGTCAAATTAAGCCTACATGAACTTAAACAATAATTAAATGGCTTTTTCCCCCCAATATTGTGAACTGGTGCCGCTTTATTTAAAAATTTCTTCTCTGTCACCTGTGAAGCTTCCTAATTCATTAAAACTTTCAGGCTGGAACTTGCGGTATAAGGAAAAAAAAATACCTTTCCAATCATGATCTCATTTTCATGATTATCTCCATATAAATCCGATGTGTCAAAGAAAGTGATACCCCTAGAAAAAACTTCCTTTAAAATCAAGCATCCATCTTCATGGGAGAGAGGTGCATTGTATATTCCAGAGAGTCCCCCACATCCGAAACCCAATCTGGAAACCTGCAATGGGCACCATTAGTAGTAAGACACTCGTTTTCATCACGAAGTCCAGCAAGTTAATAAGGAACAGTGACTCTTTGACTAACTACAAATGTCATCACGGCCTCTTATTTCTTCTGCTAGGATTAATCCAGTATCATGTTTTGCAATCAATCTAACTAAGAAGGTCCAAAAAACTATAATCAGGCAAGTGATGCATGTTTTTTTATTTCTTTAAGTTTGAATGAATTTCTGTCTTTTAGAATATCATCAAGACTGATAACTATAATCCAGCATCATGATGATTCTACTTGAAACATTTACCGTTGCTCCATGAATCTCATATGCACGTTTTTTCCAGAAATCAATATACTGCACTAATTACAGTTTGTCGCAGGCCAAGATGCCCCTCTGTCAAGTGGAACTTTTATTAGTCTTTTGTCTCATAGTTCCATCAGAAAGAGGAAGATACCTCCCCTTGGGAAAAAAAAAAAAAAAAAAACAGGAGATTAAATTTGAAGAACTAAGTTGATTCAGCTTCCAAAATTATTATCTGCCAAGATTGCTTTTAGTTGACGAGAAACATTTCAGAAGATCTCTCTTATTTATTTTCATCTGTGCATGTGCTCAAAAGCTGCTTATTGGATACCAAAATCACCACCAAATACCAGACTAATGACATGATCAAGAGTTGAGCTTGCTGAGAAACCAATTTAAATGCAACAAGGGTAGCTAAATTTTTTAACCCAAGTACAAATTTTCTTATTGTGATTTCCACTGACAAACTAGTAGCATGTAGGAAGAAGGATGTAACCACTACATCGATCCTTGTCGTATGTCATATAAGTATTCCTTTCATCAGCACGAAGTTGACAAACTTTCTTCCTGAAAGCTACTATTCAGCTTTTCTTTCATTTTTTAATTTCTATTTTTTTCTGCAGTTCTGTTAGACCAAGTTCCTCTTATTGTTCAATAAATATTTCGAATCTTTAGCACCAAAAAAGAAAGGGGAAAAAAAAAGCATTGCAATTCGGCAGAAAAGAAAAGGTGGGAATTGTTTATTCATTTTGAGTTCATATGACAGACCTTGTTACCTATTGGTTCACTGATATGAAATTTCTCAGCTGTCCATACATCATAAAACTAGAGAAGAAATTTATCAGGAAAATTGTATAAAAAGAGAGAGATTCAAGTCACAGAAACAATATGCAAGGAAGTGATTGTGCCAAGCACCTTCTTGGACAAATCCAGAGATGCATCATATATGGGTCCAGTTACAGAACCCAATCAATGGAAAACAAATTAACATAAATCTGTAAGTGTTATTAATGCAGGCTACGGAGTACTAGGTACTGCATACAAAGATGGAAAAATCACCAAAACTTTTGCACTTGGTTCTACGTTGACACTTCTGTTGACCAAAATAAATTAGTTGTAAAATGAGATGCTTACCTCCAATCCTTGACTGCCCAGTTTCACTCTTGGGATTTGAATACGAGGCTTTTCCTCCATAGCCAAAGAAAACAGAGCTTAAACGAATATGTTTCCAGAAGTGAATGACAGGCAATGTGGAATAGCAAAATTGCTGCACAATTAAACATACAAAGCAGCCATATTCTCTTTTGTCCAACTTTCCTTTTTTCTTTTTATTGGTAGGGACAATGTGTTAACTCTGGTTAACTATCCACTCTTGAGATGGTTATGGAACCGAACTAATGAAAATTAAATTTTATCCTTCAGACTTGAATGGAATTCCGTTTTAGGATTAAAACTGGCGAACAGCTTTTTCATTTTTGTCCCGTAGAAATGGCCTTATCTATTTTTGTATTTTAAAATAAATTAATTATATTTTTATATATTAAGTGTATTTTTAATCTACTATTTTAATAATTAAAAAAAAAACCATAGAAAATATTAAGTAATTTACACACAACAATATATAATCTAAAAATACCTGTCATGGTCACAGGCCATCATCACCACCGTCTCATCTCCATTAAAATATGATCACAGACAAGCATCAAATCTTTCTTTTTCTTTTTTTTATTCTTTTCTTTTTGCCTTTTGTTTCCCCCTTCATCCCTTCTTCCTCTCCTTCTTTCCTCTTCAAAAAAGAAACGCCAAAATCACGTCAAACAACCAATCCAGCCACTTTTTTGGTCAATCCTAAAACCTTCATATTCACCTAAAAATCGAGTTCTAACCTGTCGATCTACACCTCTAGACTATAAAACTGACCTTTATCATCTTCTCTTCACCTTTTTTCTGACCAAAATCAAGACCTAATCCACCAGCCGCCATCAAACTCAAACTCGCCACTTTCCTCCATGTTTCTTGCATTTTCTGACCACCCACCCCCTTAATCATCAAAACCCAGGCCTAATACCACAAACCTACTACTTTTGCATCTAAAAATCACACTATAACCCTAAATATCCATCATTCATGTGATTTGTATTTGCCCAGTCACCTGAGAAGTATTTTTCAAAATAAATATTGTCATGTGCAAATTACTTCCTGAAGATTTTATCAAAATAGATTGAAAACTAACTTAATATATAAAAATATAATTGACTCATTTTAAAATATAAAAATAAATTAAATCCTTACTCTCACTAAATAATAACATGCTGAACCATTTCCCTTTTTTTTTCTTGGCAAAAAACCTTGAGTAGGATAAGACCTTTTATTAATCGGCTTTATGATATTTTTTATTGGATCTACCCAAATAAATATACTTAACAAGTAATGGTTATATTTCAAGTGCAAACGACCTTTGTCAAAGTTTCTCATGTTATAACTGGTCATATTATATTCTAATGTCAGAGAAGCATCTTCCGCATTTGAAGACATTGTATAAAATTTCTCTTTTCTGATCCCGAAGCCATCTGCTAGCATCATTTATGGCCATAATCTCCTACCCCTTTTACATCTCGTATGACTCAGTTCAACTCAAATTCAATGGTACTTCAATTTCTTTGTCTATGCTTTTGCTAATACCTTATTTAGTATGATCAAAAGGTTAAACTTGTATATCAAATCACTTGAAATTTCTGAAAGTGAACAGATCATGACAGTGAAAGGGCGTGCTTTATGCCCAGAGTTTCTTACACCATGTGTTAAGAGGTAAGCATTAAACGGTAACGTTTCAATATAAGGATGGGATGAGAGAGAAGCAGCACTCATTCCAATGATAAGAAAATGGACTAAATTAACCTGCAACCAAATCCATCTTCGAAGAGATGACCAAAGATATATAATTTATTTTCCAATAAAAAGAAGCATAAAATCAGAAAATAGGACATGTTTCACATCCAGAGGTTTTCAGTATCGTTGCTTACATTAGATTGATAATAGCTAGCATGAGAAACAATTCAAAGCATCAGGGGGCTCGAGCATGAAACTCTTTCCTGAGGAGCCATTCCATCATTTAACATCAAGAAAAAATGTTGGCTGAATGATCAGCCTGTGCGCGGTCAAAAAAACAATAAAAGTGCAGGCATTAAAGGGAAATACAAGTCTGCAGTTTTCTGCAGAATCAGCTATGAATAGGGGAGGATAAAATGCAGAACTTTTTCATTCCTTCTCCTTTTTTTCTCTTACAGTTCCAGAACATTCAGTCCTGTATATACATACAAAATCAACACATCTTAGCCTTATACTTGTTCACTTTAATCACCACTTAAGCTAACTCTAATACATGAACTTACCACAAGTTAAACTAACTTAAGTCAAGGTTAAATAGTTATTAGCAGTAACTTTAACTAGTTACAGCACAGTAACCTCAACAAAAACAATTTTTTCCCTCTACTAGGGGATTTACATGCAATGGTTTATTTTTTTGGTGGAGTATTTGCAAACCTCCAGGTAAGCTTATCTAAAATAGGCGCACCTCTCAAGCCACTGATTTCCTTAATGTTCACAGCATCAGAAATTTCTTTTAAATCCTCTTGCGTAAGCTTCACTTCCACAGATCCGATATTATTGTCTACGTTCTTAAGTTTGGTAGTTCCTGCGTTATTTCAGCATTGGAAAACTATCACTAATATTCATCTCAATCGCTAGTGGAACCATGCCCATTAAACAGAAATGTGACAAGAAGAAAAAAAAAGAGTAAATTCTCTCCCTTTCACTGTAAATCTGTCAAAACTGTACTAATGGATAAGGTTTCATTTTCACTGAATCAACCAAACAAAAAAAATCCACCTACATAAACACAAAAGAGGCCAATTTTAGATTAAAGTAAAGGGCTCGTATACCAGGGATGGGGACTATGTCATCTCCCTGATGAAGAAGCCATGCCAGTGCTAGCTGAGGAGGGGTGCAGCAGTGCTTTTTAGCCAAGTTGGCAAGTCGTGTATATAGGATTTTGTTCTTCTGCAGATTCTCCTCTGCAAACCTCGGATGCGAATGTGCCTGGAATTAATACAAGTGAATGAGTGGCCCATTACCCAGCTAGATTCATACTGCTATGCTGGTATAACATTCCCTCTTAAGAAGACAGAATAGTTAACATGGGGAACGAAGTTGAAACAAAGAAAAGAATTCTGTGTATTATGAGAAAAATTTGATCCATTATTTTGTAGTCACATACCAACAAACTCTCATTAGGCAAACTTTCCACAACTGCCTTCCCAGCAAAGAACCCACTGCCTAGAGGACTATATGCCACTATCCCAATACCAAGTTCTCTGTGACCCAAGAAATAAGAAAAATTCAAGTGATCAGATCATAACTCAACAAAAAGTTTCTCAATTTGTCAATGCATCCAATTACCAAGTCCAAGACTATTAACAGAATAGTATCACTACAAATACTGGTTTCAAAATTCTGACAGTTGAGTTGGAACCAACCGGCAAAGTGAAATTATATCATCTTCAATTTCACGTGTCCACAATGAATACTCCATCTGTAAGGCAGTGATGGGATGAACTGCATGGGCTCTCCTTATAGTGTCCGGACTTGCTTCTGATAACCCAATGTATTTAATCTTTCCTTCACTAGCTAGCTTCTTCAGCTCCCCCACCTACCTCACCACGTTAATTCCAGAAACGAAGGATCAACTATCAAGAGTAATGGATATGTAATATGTTACCTAACACAAGAAAAATGTTTGTTGATAGTTACAGTGTCCTCTATTGGTACTGAAGTATCCACACGATGCTGGTAATAAAGATCAATATAGTCCACATCAAGTCGCTTAAGACTAGCTTCGCAGCAATCCCGTACGTATTCAGGAGTACCCTCAGCTCCAAATTGAAAATCCTCCGACACAGTTATTCCAAATTTTGTTGCTAACTGAACCTTTTCTCGAGGAAGCTGCTTCAAAGCCTAACAATTATACAGAACATCAACTTTCTTGATTAACATTAAATTTTTGCATCGAAATCAAGACTAATATTGTTCCTCAGGATATCTTATGACATGCATATCCCAACAGGATATAATTGTTTAAATAACATTGAACACATAGCACATCGTCTACAATCAAACTCTTGCTAAATTGAACACATAAGACATCTGTGATCAGATTCTTGCAATACAAAAGACGCTACATCGAACCCGTAAATCATGTTTAGACCACATTGAACACACCACCCACTTCGACATATTTATTGTAGTTTTATCATTACTTATGAAATGCTATCAAACACTTGTGCAATTAATGAGGTAGTAGAATCTGCAAAAGAAAATGGAAGTAATCAATTAAGAAGTCGGTTTACATCCTCAATTTATCTCAAGTGCAAATTGAAAAAAAATACCTTGCCAATCATGACCTCATTATCATAATCTTTCCCATAGACATTAGCTGTATCAAAGAAGGTCACACCCCTAAGAAATGCTTGGTTTATAAGGGAACATCCATCTTTATGAGAAAGAGGAGCATTCAGAAGTCCAGAAAGTCCTCCACATCCTAATCCCAATCTTGAAACCTATCGGACAGAAAAGGTATAGCTGTTCACAAACTATGAAGGAAAAAAAAAAAAAAAAAAGGAAAAAGAAAGAGGACTGGTGATTACCTCCAAGCCTTGATTGCCCAGTTTCACTCTTGGGATTTGGCTCTCTGGATTCTCCATTTCCGAGCTAACTACAACCTGATGGTGGTGGCATTATGTTATCCTTGCAGCAGCCCACGTGTTCATTTATCTATCAAAAGGAAAATGATTTGAGTATGACCACATTATTCTACATGGTCTCGCACGATAATAAAAAACATTAAAAACAAAATTAATGGGCTTTAACTAAGACAACAAAACACGATTTTCCTTCATTCAACTCACTTTAACAGATGGATCACAAAAATTAATGGGCTTGGACTAAAACAACAAACAACAAAAAAGACTTTCTAGCTTTCTTCATTCATTTCACTTTAACAGATGATGGAAACGACGTCGGATAGACGTGTCAAATAAGTAATAGTAAGCTAATAACTGCAAAACAGATTCACGGACAAACTCTCGCCAAACTTTCTCATCTCTGCAATAAACAAAGCTAAGCTCTTCCTAAAATAATTTTTTTGAAAAAAAAATTCATAAAATCCAGAGAGATAGAGGGAGAGATCAGAGATGGAGAAGAGGGGGAAGCAGATCTACGCAGTAGCAGCTCTTTTAATGAGCTTTATTAGCAGCATCTATTCTCTCTCTGTCACCGTAAACGACGTCGAATGTGTTTACGAGTATGTCCTCTATGAAGGCGACACCGTTTCCGGCAACTTCGTTGTTGTCGATCACGACATCTTCTGGGGCTCCGATCACCCCGGCATCGATTTTACTGTGAGTACCATTAACCTTCCATTTCAGTTTTAATTATTTCACTTCAGTTTTCCTATTTATTTGACTCTACTTTGGGGGTCTTCAATCTTGCTATGTTTCCTTCTTCTTTTTCCTTAGCAGTTAGGATATTATGGGAAATTCATTGATTATTGATGTAATTTGGTGGTATTCCGATTGGTTTTGTGTTATTTAATTACTATTTTAGATTTGGATGATATAATTTGGTGGTATTCCGATTGGTTTTGCGTTATTTAATTGCCATTTTAGATTTGGATACGAGAAGTGTGAAATTTGGGAGAAGTGCCTCATATGGTCTGAAGAATTTGTATAAGTATAGGGTCCTTTGGGATTGTTGATTGTCACTTGTTGTTGCTGGACTAGAATTTCTATGTAATCATATTATGACCCTTAAGAAAACCTTCAGATTTTAGCTAGATTCCTAGGAACTTGTTAGAGAAGTGCTCTTACTAGTTTGTCAGACAAAGCTGTCCCTTGAATTGATGTGAAATATCTCTTGGGAAACCTCACTCACTGTCATTATTCGATCTATAGCAAAAAGTGATTCCTTCATAATCCTCCGCTATGTGGACTTTGTCAGAATAAGCTGAACCTCTCTGTTTGATTTGATCTGTGTCACAAGATGGTGCAAGGATCTTCCCTGTTTTAAAAGGCTATGCATTTTTTGTTTATATTCATTGTGGACTAATTTGTGAACAATCATGCACCTTGTTATTGCTGGTTGTTGGAATTATGTTACTTATTATTGTTAGTTATTCGTTTTGTTATCTTGATTTGTGCTGTCATGCAGGCAACCTCTCCTGGAGGTAATACAGTGCACACTATAAAGGGGACATCTGGAGATAAGTTTGAGTTCAAGGCTCCAAGAAGTGGAATGTACAAATTCTGTTTTCACAATCCCTACTCAACACCTGAGACTGTCTCGTTTTATATTCACGTGGGCCATATTCCCAACGAGCATGACCTTGCCAAAGATGGTTTGTTGATTTCTCTCCTATTAGTTTATTCTTATGTTTCAGATCCATCTCTATGTAGTATCAGATTATGAATAACTGCAATATTATTACGGCCTTCTTGTGAAATTTCAATTGTTTATTCCAGATGGTTAGTCCATGCTTTTTGGGCTGATGTCCACTACGTGAAAAGAATTTATTCTGCTGTGCCTTTGACCTGTATAGCGTATTTTCCTTGCAGAGCATTTGGACCCAATTAATGTTAAAATTGCTGAGCTGAGGGAGGCATTGGAGTCTGTTACGGCAGAGCAGAGGTACTTGAAAGCCCGTGATGCTCGACATCGTCATAGTAAGTTTATTGCTCTGCCATTTTTTTTCATGCTTAAAATCTATGATTATGAATTGATGGAATTCCACAATGTTTGGGTAATTCTTTAGCAATCATTTATCATATTGTGCCTCTTTTTTTTTTTTTTTTTTTGCTTGAGAGAGAGAGAAGTATGATCTATTTGTGATTTTATATCATGGTGTTCAGTGCCACTAATCCGAATACCATCCTGCAGATTAACATATTATGTATGATAAATCCCTATAGGAAGTCCCAACTTCCTTGTGTACATAAAAGATCTATATATGGACGAATACCAAGTTGCAGATTTAGGCAATCATTTTGTTCTGAGAAAAATTTGTTTATTGTATGTCCTGTTTTCAGTTTTTGGTTGCTCCAATGCAATTGTTTCAACTCGACAAGGCTATCTTAAGAGCATCTTCACGCAATATCAATTTGCTGAAGATTGGTTGCTAACTATCATTTGTTACTTCTGCAGCTAATGAGAGCACAAGGAGGCGTGTCATAGCCTACACGGTTGGAGAGTACCTTTTACTGGCCGCTGCCAGCACACTTCAAGTCGTATATATCCGTCGTCTCTTCAGCAAGTCAGTGGCATATAACAGGGTTTGAGCCGGGATTAAGTTATTGACAGTTGATTAATAACAGGCTGAATTCGATAAGATAATAGATGAGTTTAGACAACTTTTGCACAAATGTATGGTCTGTTGTTTCATTCAGTTTTTGCATCAGTTATAATACAAAGTTTAGAACCCATATTTATGTAAACTCTTCTCATCTTTTTGGTTTTATCTATTATATTCTCAATCGCAACATATGTCAGTATTGGGTATCTGCCATGGTCATCATCTAGGAGGGGGCTTTATTTGGGCCCTGGAAATTCCCAACCATCGACCTATAGAGTATAGAATTCATAACTCTCTCCCTCCCTCAGAAGGCATAATTCTCTTGATTGCTAAACGAATGTAAGCTTAGGAGTAAAATTTGGATAACATAATTTTGGTTAAGCATATTGCTGAAAAGATGGGATTGGGATGTTAAGGCAAATGCCGCACATAAAAAAGTGAATGCTTGCATGTTTATAAATTTACGGTATTAAGTTTCTAGAAAGACCAAACTCTTAAAGATAATTTTGCCACGAGAATGGTATGCTCACAGCAATTGCCAGGTGAGTAATATTATGCAGATGCAAGGATTCATTATAATAGCCAAAGGGCCCTCTGATAAATCGAGTGCATGAGACTCTGACTGGATAATGAGATATATCTTGAATCTGATTGTTTAGGATTTTGCTTTGCCATTGATTAGGCGAGCTGGTGATTAAGCGCGAGACTGGAGCTGCCAATCGAGATGCTAATAAGAAACAAGAACGCGTTAACATAACTTAATTCTTGGAGGTTTCCACCGAATTAAATTTAGAACCTGCCACCAGCGTTAAAACATTACCTAATTTCTGTATGAACATATTTAGTTTCTATAAAACTATAATTTTATTAAATATTCTTCATTTTGAGAAATCTTATGCATTAAATTAGTGATCCATTAACGGGTCTCATAAATCAAGGATTGAAGGTGTTTTTTAGAGAAATTAGAATATTTTGCTAAGATTAGCTTTATTTTATATATATATATATATATATATATATATATTTGATTTCACTGGTTTCTTTCCTTTTATTATTATTATTTATTTTGTCTCTTTAGTTTATCGAAACGTTTTAGTTTTATTTTAAAATTTTAACCCACCGACTCTTTGCCACGCAGTCAACGTCTTGTGGATAAGATCGGATGTTTATTTATCTGTACTAAATTAACCGTGAGAGTTGAATTTACTAGCATACCCCTATGCTTTTCCGGGATTTAATAGAAGAAGGCTCACCGCGGCTTTGTCTCCCCCAATACAATTAAGGTCAAATCTATCTGGGTTTTTTTTTAAAAAAAAGGATTATCGTTGATTGTTTCAAAAAAAAAAAAAAAAAAAAAAACTTAATATGCATTCATCCATTAGTTAATTGTACTTGTTTGTTAAGAGTATCTTCAATTTTTTTTTATGGTAAGATTTTTTTTATAATAAAGAGATTTTTACTCAAATTCTACTTCGAATGTTTTCTTTATCATAATTTATGCCTTTAAAATTAAGATACAGTGTTTTTCTAGCTCTTTAATACTTAGAGAGTTAAATGACTCTTTATCTTATATTTCATTAATAAAAATTACTATTTCTTACACCACTTAGCCTCTTCATTAATAATTTCTCTTGATTTTATGAATTTTATCAAAATAAAAAATTAAAATAAATAATATCGTAGAAGATATTGATTTTCAATTTATATGAGTAACGGTATTCTTTATTTATATTAAAAATACTTATGAAAAGTAGATAGCATCTTCCAGTAAAGATCAGCCCTCTGATTGTACAGATAAAAACTTGAGAAAGAAATGCAAAGCAGCATGCATTGAACACGATCTTTGTCTTCACTTGGATCGTGGATTGGTTCAATGGAAAAGAATTTACACTGTCCTTTGATTCGTGTTTTTCTTCTTCTTCTTCTTCTTCTTCTTTTTTTTTTTCCTCGGAAGGACGAATGGCAGTATGGCACCTAGCACCTGGCTATGTATACGCGAGTCGAAGTAATTGTAGCTACGAATGATATTGGTCACAACTTAATTTGCAGACCTTTAAAGTAGCCGTATATAAGCAAGGAACTTGTGAACTCTTTTTCTCTGATATGAAAAAAAAAAAAAAAAAAAGCACGTAGTTTTTCTCAAACTTCCAATAGGAACATGAAGTCTGTAGTTGTCCATATGTATTTAAGTAACTCGGTGACATCTATATCGAAGCTAAAATCACTTGGTGTAAAATTATTACCAATCAATTATGATGTTATAATAAGAATTTAAACTTTTAAAGACGTAGACAAGATAATATACAATTAAATACACTTAAGATTGATATTGTATGGAATGAATAAAAATAATATCTTGTTTGTAAAGTGTTGGGATTTTCATGATAAAAAAGAATGTTTTGACATGTCAATTATATCAAAACATGTAATTAAGTATGGAAATATCTCCGATACTAATTGACAATTACATATTAAAATTAAAAAAATTATTTTATTGTCGTATATTATTTTTTATTTTTTCAAATCACATAAAATACATTAATTAATATATATAAATGAAGTATATAGTAATGAATGTTGTTGAAGTACTTGAGATATTTCTGATTTGGATGTCATATCTATTTAAAAAAAACTATATCCATACTTTTTCAATTGATATACAAAATTAATTTATAATAAAATTGCAAGAAATCTGATAAAAAATAAATCATATAACATCAAAGTAATATCAATATAAAAGATTTTGTGAGAAAAACCAAATGAACCACTACCCTCGAGAATTTATAGGTAATTCGATTTTTACAAAGAATGCACTAAATAATGAGTAATTAATACTAGGATGACACGCCGCGGGACAGTCATATTAATAAGTAAGTTACCAGAGCGGACCATGGATAATTTAACAGACAAGACAAGTAATGAATACGTGGCAATTTGTTAACAGTACAAGGGCAATGTGGTCAATAGGAAAAAAATACTTGCAGATGCCTTACATAAATGCCTCAAACCTGTTCTTATTTCTCCCTCACTCTCTCTCTCTCTCTCTCTGCCTTAACCAAATCCTACAAGCACATATTCGATCAATCATTTTCCCTTTCAAGAAAGAAAAATGTTGGCAGTTTTCGACAAAACAGTTGCAAAATGTCCTGATGCTTTACAGAGTCCACACTCTACCCCATCAGACTCTGCATTGAAAGATGACCTCTTGGCCAACCACTTTGCCTTACTGCACCCTGGCTCTGTCACTGTCAATCTTGGCTCTTCTGGTCGCATTGCTTACTCTCTTGATAAGCAAAACCCTCTTCTTCCAAGGTATTTCTGTTTTATTTTGCCTTAAAAATGTGACCATGTTTGTTTTGGTTGATTTTTGGAATTGATCTGATCTTGATCGCTTGAGGATTGTTCATGTCTGAGTTTTGGGTTATGGGTTTTTGCTTGATGAAATTTAGTCCTACTATGTCTACGCGCGCGCGTGCGCGTGTGTTTATGTTTATTTTATGTTTATGTTATGATTTGTGGCAATTTGCTTGGAGAAATTCTCAACTTTTATTGAGTTTTTAGTAGATCTTGTTATTCATTTATTTATTGTTCGAAAACTTTTTTTATGCTTTTTTTTTCTTTTTTGATACTTTCTTGCAATTAAGAAGGGCTGTTTCTTTTTGTTAGATTTTTACTGTCACAAACTTTAAGCAAATAAAGGGCTCTTGGAGTTGTTAATTGGTGTTAGGGAGGCGTGAGTTTTTATCTGATCATTAATTCTTTGCAATATGGTGTTAGCGCAGCATACAATGATATAATCCAAATCTAAAGATTTTGTTTTGTCTTTAGTTACATCTGAACTATATTGTCTCATTTTATGGTTTTGATAAAGAGAAAAGACAGATTTAGTTCGCTAGTTTTTTTTTTTTAATTATTTTTGCTAAATAGTTTACTAGTAATTCTGTTATTTTATATAGATATAGTCTGTTCTTTTGGAAGCATGTGGATATTTTGTGGAATTGAATAGTCCTATTGGTATTTTAGATGTCATTTGAATGAAGTTGTTTAGCTTCCAGCCTTCCACTTAATCAATGTTATATATTTATTTTAGTTGCTTTGATGCACTATTTTAATCATAGAATTTAGATCTATTATTTGGATAAATAGCTTTCCACTTTGACTCCTCTATGAATGTAAATTAAGGGCTTGCTTAATGTGTTCTGCAATCCAATCCAGTTTGTTGCAGGAAAAGAAAGAGCCAAATCCCATTTTCATTGCTATTTGTTTGTTAGAAGTTATGTAGGGTTTAAAAGGATTTATTAGCGTCATCTGTAGATAACATTGGTAATATCTCTTTTCTCTGGCTAGGTTGTTTGCAGTTGTGGATGACATTTTCTGCTTGTTCCAAGGCCACATTGAGAATGTTGCTGTTCTCAAGCAGCAATATGGTCTAAATAAAACTGCAAATGAGGTGATCATTGTCATTGAAGCTTACAGAACTCTCAGAGATCGAGGCCCTTATCCTGCCGATCAGGTTGTGAAAGACATCCACGGGAAATTTGCTTTTATTTTATATGACAGCACTGCAAAAGCCGCATTTGTTGCTGCTGTAAGTGATCCTTTCTGGTTGGAATGTTCTCCTCTATTGTCAGTTGTGCTTTTGATTTTATTTCTGATTTCTTCGTCTATCTGTTACAAGCAGTTTAAATCACGCTAACTTTACCTTTTTTTGCAGGATGCTGATGGAAGTGTACCCTTTTTCTGGGGAACTGACTCTGAAGGCAATCTCGTTCTTTCAGATGATGTTCATATCTTGCAGAAAGGCTGTGGGAAATCTTTCGCTCCATTCCCTAAAGGTAAAATTTAATTCTGGTTCAATCGTCATACTTGTGATCTATACCAAGGGCAACACATGGATAGGCACTGAAATTTAATTCTGGTTCAATCGTCATACTTGTGATCTATACCAAGGGCAACACATGGATAGGCACTGAAATTTACTTAGAGTGTTTTTAGAGCCAAGTATTTGTGTAACATTGGAGAACCCAGCAATGTGGAAAATGTTGATGCATTACCATTTTGAAGACTATATATTCATGATGTTCTCTCAAAAGTTTCCTCCACTTTCTTAAATGATTTTTGTTTCTTTGTAGATGTCCAGTTCCTTCTCCATGTTGCATCATGGGCTGAAAGTTAGGACCAAAGTATCTTCACCCCTTATATAGCTTTATGCAAAAAAGTTTACGACGATTTATTGCTCTTTCTTCATTGTTTCTTACTTTTCTCTTTACCATCCACTAATCCCTTGAACTTTAGGATGGCCATTCAAGGTCCTTTGGCATTGATGGGATCCTTCATGATTTATGGGCACAAGGATTGATTGCATAATTTAAAAGTTTCTGCTGTGTTTCTCAGGATGCTTCTTTACTTCTTCTGGAGGTTTGAGGAGCTATGAGCACCCCCTGAATGAGTTGAAGCCAATGCCAAGAGTGGACAGTTCTGGTCAGGTCTGCGGAGCAAATTTCAAGGTGGATGCAGAGACGAAGAAGGAATCAGCTGGCATGCCAAGAGTTGGTAGTTCTTACAACTGGTCTTCAAACTACTAAGCTTTTAAGCCCTGTTATGGCAAGGTTTTTGTTATTTGGTGGCCTTCTTTGGATTGTATTGTTCTTAATCCTCCGCCCTTATCTCTCATCTTTAAGACGCTGTTGAACTAATGTGTCCCAAATGCCATACTGTTATTAATACTTTCAAAAAACAAGACACAATTGATGCAGCTGTATATGTTGCTTACTCTCAAAACGAATCCCAGATCTTTTCTGGATATAACCTAAAATAAAGTTTATATTGCATAAAAGATTTTTAATGTGTTAGTTTCCTAATAATATTCAAGCTTGCCCCCTTTAATGGAAAACAAGGATGAGGATTTTTTTTTTAAAACTCTTCAATTTGCTTCATCTATTGGATGTCATTTTTTTGACTATTTATATGCTCCACATTAAAACTAGGGTTAAGGCAGTGACCTATCCTGGCGTAAAAGATCAATGAAAGTAGACGGATTGGATTGGTTTGGTGCAGAAAGTCCTGGATGAGCTCCTATGCTGCCACCTATAGCCAGCTTGTTCCCCAACCAAGTTTTTGGAGTCTTGGGATTTCAGAAGATACATGAAGCCAGAACCAGAAGTTCATGCTCTTTCTACGCATGTTCCTCTAGCGCAGAAAATGACCGTAATGCTCGCTTAAGAAGATGTCCTTGACCGCAGCACATAACATGTCGTTTGGTACCAGACCTTTGCATCATGATACATGACATATACTTTGATACTAGTGCTGCATATAAAAGATAACTAGTGCTGCATATAAAAGATAACATAGTCATTGTTTGCTGACATCATCGTGCAGCTGCCATGGTCGGCAAGTTCCCATTATAGTTCGTCTTGTTCTCTGCCAAAAAGAATAGGGATAAGGCTTGGATATATTGTTCTTTAGAGTTGGGCAACTATAGCCGTCCATTCCAATTCAGCTTCAGTCCATTTCTGTCTACCTTTCCCTCCTAAACTATACTAATAGAAACTACGAACTTCCTTGCAGAGCCGTCCATTCCAATTCAGCTTCAGTCCATTTCTTCCGTAATTCCTAACACTGGATTCCTTCTAAATGCTGACTTCTTTTCTTCTTTGGCACCAACTGTAGATATTTGGCCCCCAAAAGGGATTGGGTTTGAGGTTTTAGATCCTTGCGAAATCCTTTTTCTTAGTACCCTCCTCCTCCCACCCCCACCCACAGACCGCTCCCCCTGGCGGTCCCCCGGAGAACTTATCAAAGCATCGGTGAATAATGTTGTCTTTTAGAAATAACAACCACCAATCAAGTAAATTAAGTGCAAATAATGAGACGTGAGTGAAGGAGCGTACAATGCTAGAAAAGTAGAAATCAAGCGACATGTAGGTAGGTGAATGGTGAAAATACAAACAAATAGAACAAGAGCAAGAAAGTGGTTAAATCCAAATAGGTGGGAGGTCGAAATTTAAATACAACTTGGTCAAGGTTCAAACAAAGATCAAGTGATCAAAGTTCGAATAGATAGAACTTCAGATGATGCTTGGTATGTAAGTGAGATAAGAGATTTTGCTAAATATCAAGAAGTTGGAATCTCTTCATAATTGATGTGAGATTGATATTTATAATGAAATGAGGATGACTCTTGACTAATAAAAACATGTTATATCATTTATGTTTAAGCAATTAGATTTAAGTTGAAAAAAGCTATGTTTTTGGATTAAATTGCTTCAATATGCTAGCAAATACTAAAAAAATGAACAATTAAATCTTTCTTTAACGAACCTCTCTTCTAACTCACCAAGTCAATCTAACTAATGCATCTCAAATATAATGCATAAACACTCACAATGTTAGAATAGATGTGTTAATCTTTATGCGGTTTAAAACCTTGTGTTGAGCACTCATTTTCAATCCAATTTATTTAATATGTAGCTTGCATCCATGTCAAAGTTAAGGAAAAATAATATGAATCAATACATAACTAATTGATTGTCCACACTACACATTAAGTCAAGTAGAATATGTGAAATAATTTTAATATATATATATTTCAATTTAATAGCATATACTATGTTGCAGATCTATTAAATTCTTATATAAAAAATTTGTATTTAATTTATTCTTTCTTATGTTTTTCATAATTTTTTTAGTTAAAAAAAACATGATTTGTTCTTCTTCATGCATTAATTTTTAAATCTTAACTTGCAATAATCTAAATAGAAAATTTAATCCAATTTTTTTTTAAAAAAATACCTTAATAATTTTTTTCATAAGATTGCATCACAAAAATAAAGTAACAATTAATATAAAAACTTATATAAAAATTAACAAATGATTTTTTTAATTCTTATTTAATGCGGATGAGAAGATGATTTTTTTAAGAAATATGTACATTTGATTTATATATATTTATTTCCAAAACAATCAATAATATTTATAGAAAAAGCTGTATTTAAATTATTAGGTGGTTCTTCTAAAATATTATTTTAATAAGTTTATTTTAATAGCAAATGGTTTGTGTTATGTATGTAGATATATAATTAATTTGCAATAAAACCAATAATTCATTTTTTTATACATCATGACCATATTTAATTGGTTCACAATGTGGAGTGTGTGTGTATATATATATATATATATATATATATTAAAGAACACTTAAATTGTAAGAATTGTATTGAAATTAATAGGTTGAAGTAAAAACAATTACAAGATTGTTTACTATAAATTTTGATTATATAAAAAAGAAATAAACAAAACACATGAATTCTCTTTTTTTTAATTGATTATTTATTTATTTTAAAAAAAATTAAGACAAATTATATGAAATATATTTTTAATATTTTAATATAATCATTTAAAACTCATAAGAATCCATGATATAACTTATTTCAATATACTTTTAAAAAAGAAAAAATGATAATGATCTAAAATTTTATTCGAAAATCCATGCTTAGAGAAAAAAATAAAATTGATTAAAAATAAAATTATATAAAAATAAATTGATGAGAATTGTCATAAGAAACAAAAAATAAAAAAATTAATTTTAAATAATAAAAGTAATATAATCTGATTTATATATTCATTCTAAAATCTAAAAATATATCACACATATTTCATCATCACTAACTTATGTTAAGAATTAAAAAATATATATATAACAATTGGTTTTTTATAATTTTCACACCAAATGCAATCATAAAAAATTAATTTTTGAAAGAAAAGAAAAGAGAGAACAAAAACAAAAAAACAAGGCAGGCCTACAGCCTTGGACCTAAAAAAACGAGCATGTGTGCTTGGGTCTGCAAAAACAAACCCACGTGTCCCATTTTTTTATTAAAAAAAAAGTTGATGTGTCACTCTCATTGGGCAACAACATGAGCAAAGTGAGCCCACTTTAAAATTCTGGCAAACTTGAGTTGGTCGAAAATATTTTTAGAATCGTCGTTGAAAAATTGATGGTATAGTTTCAGCCTCTAAATCTCATTTCTAGCATTATTTTTGTCTTAAAAAATTTCAAAATAACTGAAATAAGGTTAATAAACTTGTTTAGAATCTAAAAAATATATTTCAATGCACATTAAAAATAGATAAATAAACAAAAAACTAAATCAAATTAAAAAATTTAAAATCTTTTAGATTTTAATTTATTTCGTTCAATTATTTCGTGGCTTAAAACCACTGTGAACACTCTCCTCGTCAATATAAATAATATGCAAGCAAGATCGCAACAAAAAGGGTCGAAATCGGAGTTGATTGTAATTTTCTCTCTCTTACCTTCTCTCTCTTCGTTTTTCTTTTCTCTCCCAAGAATCAAATTATGATACTAATGAAGTTGTGGACCAACAAAATCATTAGAAAACATCAAATACCAAAGTAAAATATCATGTAAAATTTTTATATAAATATTTAAAAACAATCTAAAACTCACGAAAATAAAACTACATGATGAAAATAAACAGTGCAACGAGTCTCTGCAGTTGAGCGTGAATGAATAGTGACCTAAATAATAAACTCTCTTAACTCTTTTAGTTTGTGTTTTTTTTTTTTTTTTCATTTTTATGAACAAATGGAGCATGTACACTCTTGTTCTCCTTTCATCCGGAGTTTATGCTGCGAAAGGGAAACACCATGCATCTCGCTTTCAGTTGTGAATCCAATTGAAGCAGATGGATTCTACTCTAAGGGGTAGCAGTGCACGAGGAAGGGATAGACCTTTTGCTATTATTTCACCAGGGCAGGCAATGACCACGACGTTGACGAACAAAGATAGAAGAATCCACACAACTACATGGCGGTGTGTCGTAATTTACAATAAAAATCTGAGTTGAAATAACAAAATATATGATGGATTTAACAGTAGTTTATAAAAAAAAATAGTGAGAGAAAAGAGCTAAATTTCTGAAAGTAGGCACCGAGACCTAAGAAGCGGGCCTGCTTCAGTTGTCTGAGGCCGTAATGTAAATTGCTTTCTTGTGCTTGAATACCAAATTGGGATTTATAGGGGAAAAGAAACCTGTAGTTGGAGGGGGTGAATAGATATATAGCACTTCAAGCTATACTTGTACTGGATTCGTGACCGAATGAAGATAAAAGGTTTCGGAGCCAAATGTGCAAAGGAGATATATCAGATAATTATTTACAGATCATAATCAAATTTCAAGGTCCCTATTGCAATAATTTGTTTCTCTAACGGCCGAGATTTGAAGAAAAAGAAAAATACCAACGCACGCTTGGAAGAAAAGGCTTGCAGGCACACTATGAAGAGCCTGTTAGACATTAGTCTACATCACCATAATTCTTGCAAGGCATTAGTTTATTATATAGTCTAGTCTTTACACTAGTTTGATAAGAAAAGCTTGAATTATAGCAAGGAATAATGCAATCCAAGGCCCCTGTGCTGTTTTGGCATGGATTGAATCAAAGGGCTTGTTTTGTTAAGGACTAAAGAGGGCCTGACCATAAAAACGAATCTTGCAGGATTTGACTGCATGCAGGAAGCACTTTTGGTCCCATTTGTTTCCTAGGAATGCCCATCCTCTACATAAGAAATTCAAGGCATGGACAAGAACAGCCATGTGATTCCAAATATATATATATATATATATATATAACAAGAAGAACGAAACAGCCATGTGAAACCATTTAAAACAATATACAGACATGTGGAATATTAGGATTGTTTCACTTATCAGGGATGTGACTCTTTTTAAACATGGTCTACAAAGTTAAAAGATAAATGTAGAGCACAAGGAAGGAGACTTAATCCTACAGATATACCGTCTTTTGCTGCCATATAAAAAAAATCTACGAGTAGATAGCAGGAAAATGAGATATTCTACTACTTTAACTGTATAATTCCGCAGAAACACCTCTAGCAGTGACCTTTTTGCTAGTCCTTTGCATCTGCAATGCCTCCTGATGTTATCTGAAATACGTGCTTCTGTCAAGAATAACTTCCCAATAGCTCATGCAATATTAACAATTGAATGGGGACTAGGATCAGAGAATAGGCTGATGTATTTTAAAACTTCGGTTTTTACTTCAGCCACCATTATCATTTCATCAAAGAAGCTCGCCTTATATCATTTTTCCATTGAAACATGATTAATTAAATCTCATTTTTTTCATTTTTTCATAGAAACATGATTAATTAAACCAAAATCGAAAGGCAAAGCAAAAACAATGGTATCGAGATTAAGGATATAGCTTCAGCCTCAGGCAAATTTGGGGCATCAAACACCTTGCAGACCCGTTGTTCACCTTTGCCTTTCCTGAACATCAGCCTGATAGTGGCTGCATGGGCAAGCACATGCCCTCCTGCTGGTTTTTTTGGATCTGATATGAACACTCCTCCACCTGGGTCAGCTATGACTGCAACCAACAAATTGATGTTGTATTCAACTCTAAAATGCAATAACTACAAATAAAAGTATGCCATGCTGACAGGATAATAAGAGAACTTGGTGGCTAATACACCAACATAATTATCAAAGAGCTACAGGTCATAAGGGTATAGTGGGGAAAAAAAAAGAGAAGACTTTACAAAAATGGAACCAAAGCTGCGTGGCATGTTATCTATGACTTCCGAGGATGATAATAAGTCAAGGTTACCTTGGTTGGTCATGTAGACTGCAACATTAAATTCCTCAGCTATCTTTATCAACCGAGACAGCATCTGTGCCAATTTTTGCTGCAAAAGGTACCTATTAATGTCATTGAAAAGAAACGATACAGATGATATTGTAGCTAGGTATTGTAGAGGAACTTTGGAATTCACCTGACGCTCTGCAAGTTCTCCCCTTCCAGTAAAATCCACCCGAAAGAGAGCAATAACAGAATCAACAATCTGAATTCATATGCACACACACTGACTTCACCACACCAGGCCTCATAGTACAGGCATCACAGGCAACTCAATCTTAAAAGAAGAGGGGAAAAAACCCACCAGAAGTCTGAAAGGCTCTTCAGACATTTTTGCAGCAAGACCAAGAAGCAAGTTGTATTGATGTTCATAAGTGTATGCGCGGGCATAAACGATCTTCCACGTTCACAGAGAAAACAGGTGACCAAGGAGATCTGCTTCTATAAGTCAATTAATAATAGAATAGAAATCCATACTTACATTGTCAAGGACAGCTCCTGGGTCCATTCCAAATCTTTCAGCGATAGGGACAATTCTATCAGGTCGGCTGCAAAAGCAGAGTTAAGGAAACACACTGAAAATGACAAAGTATCGTATGCTTATATTTCTCCGTTACTTTTTCTTTAAAAAGTAACTGCACGTATTGCAAGATGTCAAGAGGGAAGGCAAACAGAAAGGATACAAAGTTCCTTCAGTATCAATGTAAGCAACCTTTCCGTTCCCACCATGCATGTTTGTAGGAAGCTGCAAAGGCAATAGAAATGCATGTTTAGCAAAGCTTAGGCCACATGCTGTCATTTCCAAATCTGAACTCCAGATAATGAGGCTTCTGCATAAATCAAGGCCAGTGCTACACACAATATCATTACATCATGCCTTGCACTCTCACTGAAGGACTTCATCAGAAAAACAAGAATATTGGCACATGACTTGAAATTCTTTTAATTGGAAAATAATTGTCAAGAAACTTGTGCTGTGCCTACAATTCGGAGATCAGTGAATCAATGTTGTCTATTTTTAGAATCAGATTTTTGTAATGTTTCACTTATTCCAAAAATATTCATCTTATTGACAGACAATTGTATTTTTCCTGTTGAAGACAAATCCAATATTCCTTGAAACAGCATCACCTATCATGCTATATTTTAACAGCACTGATGAGTAATAACTAATATTCTCATTTTACGTAGACACCACAGCTATGGATATCACACCAACAACCTCATTAAGGAACAAAATCAGAGAGGAACCTGTGTAGAGACACAAAGAGTATGAGCAAGCTGTGTCTTCCCGGACCTAAAAATAATATTGCAATCATTAGTGTAGAAGTACACAGATTTCAGGATCTGTGAGAACGAAGAGAACATGTCAACAGAAAATATTGTAATTTATTAGAAAAGGTGTGTTTTGTTCCCACCGGAATTCCCCAAAAGCTTCTGTGATAGCAGAAGTCTCAATTCCACCTTTTGAATCAGCCAAGACAATCATATCAGTAACACAGAAGCAAATTGCAACATATTGATGTCAACGCATACGATATACACTAACACAGACAGTTCTAGCAAATCTAAGAGTGATAGACTACCTCCTAAGAGTTCATCCAGGGCTTGGCTTCCAGTTGTGATGCGAATCACAGATTTCCTCTGCGGGATAAAACAATAATGAGATTTAAACTTATAAAGGTGATAAAAATCAGAAGGTATATCTATAAGATTTGAACCATTCAATGAAGTGATTTGAATCTTTCCTCAAATTCAGAAAGCAAGAGGAACTTGAACTTACTTTGAGCAGAGCATCGCTTCCAGTTATATAACCATAATTCTGAAAAAAAAAAAAAAAAAAAAAGTGTGAATTCAACTGCGCATTAACATCAACCTTAAAAAAGACAACTATCTTGATTATTATCCTATAAACTCAGCACTAACCACTATCTTTTCAGCAGCTTCACATATCTTGTCAACTTTAGCCTCAGACAATCCTTTGATTCCAGTCAAGTGCTGCATAAAACAAAGGTAATGATAATCGGATGGTACTAAAACACTTAAATGAACAGTATCGGAACTTGTATACCTTCCTCGTGAACATCATCAAGCCATTGCAGGTGTAGATACCTGCATCTTGAAGCTTCTTGACATCCCCAGCATTAATACCTTGATTGATCACTGCATGAAACGTATACATACATCGCAATTCACAAACAAGAAGACTGAGCATTGAGCATTGAGCAACCAAATATAATTAAGTCAAATCTTCTCAATAAATCAAGTGAAATTCATCTACAATATTACACTAAATCTCAAGGCAGAAAGAAAGATTAAAGTTCACGTGAAACAGCAAATACTCGGCAATGACGTTCTAGGTAAATTGAAAAGTTCAATTCCCGTTATCTGCATAATTCTAATCCAACTTTCATAGTCATATTTCAAGTCAAAACAGGTGAAGTTTAAACGAGGTCAATCAAAAGAACAAGATCAGACAAACTTCTATTCAACAATGAATCACAAAGGAGTGGACCTTGGATATAACAAAATCATAAACTATCATGAACAGAAATTAAGTGAATCTTCTTATGAATCAATACAAACCTGAAAGATCTGGTCAACAAATTGAATTTCAACGGAAAGCAAAGTAAAAAATAGAACAAATAGAGAATCAAATTAAGTGCAAGAGCAGAAAGAAACAGGATCTGTGGTCATTTTAAAGGAAAAGCGTTGTGAAGTAGGTAGCAACAAAAAATCAAAGACAAAGGATCTTTTACCACTAGATTGAAGAATTTTTGCACTGCATACAAATTGAAATTCCGGTTTAACATTTGAAAGCAATGAAAAGTGCACAGAAATTGAGAATCGAAGTTGATGAACAGAAAACACAAAAAGGCTACATGAGTAAGAATTCGAGTTATGATTTAAACATCAACACAAACACGAAAGGTAGATCATCGTTTGCACATGAAGGTACACAAACAAACAGAAAAAGACGAAGAAAATCGAGAATCGACAGAGAAAAACGATCGGTAACACAGAGAGAGAAAGAGAGGTCGTGATTTGTAGCTTACACTTGTCGATGGCTTCGAACAAGTCGTCTTCGTCGTCCATTTCTTCTCGTTCCACCAGCTGTAGCTGGTTTTGCTCTTCAGCTCTGAAAACAACAATCACGTACACAGACAAATTTAGGAATTAGTGAGTAAGCAATTGCTGCTACTAATTAAAGATAGAGAAAGTACTAATTAGCTTAATAAACTTACTTAAGAGTGGCGATCATCTTCCCGCGCTTACGGTAGAAGAAGCTTCAACTTTAGTGTTTGTTAATTTGTTTGGGGAGAGAGGGAGAGAGAGAGAGAGAGACAGCAAGAGAGAGATTGTGATTTCAAATGCGAAACGGGTGATGTGAGAGACAATGGGCGTGAATTTAAAGAGGCGGGAATCTGAATTCGTGGACTATTTTTAAATTTATTTCACACCAGCGGTTGAGATCCGCGATTATTTCAATCCGTTGCCGTTCGTTTGGCTATCCGTTCTTCTGTTATTTATCACGTCAAAGATCCATGCCTTTCTAAAATAAATTGTTAGTCAAGTATTTTCAGTAATTTAACAGTGGATTGAGTTTTCTTACTCAATCAATCGCTTAACGCGCTACCTAGATGATGGAATTTAGTAATATAATTAATGGTGCGATACTCAATGAGAAATTTTATAATACTTAAAGAGTAATCAATGATATATACATTAGTTACTTTATAGCCCTACTTGAAGGAAAGAGATAGGCGAAAAAATATATATATAGGAGAGAGAAAATTAAAAAAAATTGAGCGAACCCGAAAATCTTCTTATCACTTTTGATAGATTCGAATATAATTTTATGTTTCTATCTCTCTCTTCTAAATAAATTCATAAAATAACTAATGTATATACCACTAGTTACTCTTATAATATTATAAAATTTTTCATAAGTGTGTTAGAATATTTTTTTACTAAAATAAAAAAAAATGTTTGCGAAATGTTTGAGTACTATTTAGACACTATATTTTAAACTTCAACAAGCGCATTAATTTCTTATAATGGTTCTTTTCGCGTGCTTGTATGTATGAGAATTGTTTTGGACGAAAAAAACACAACAAAAACCATTTTCCCCTCTTTACCAAAAAAATAAAAAAACAAATATCTCCTTATTCTTGTCTTCTCTTATTTTCCATTAGAAAAAGTCATCTTGTTTTCATTGTTCTTCTTTCTAAGTCACATACTCGAATAAGAGTGATGTTATTTTATTTTGAATTTTAAGTTTTACAAATAATACAAATTTGTTAAAACGAAATAAAATGAATAAACTTATTGTATTTGTAAAACGACGTGTAACATATACTTCATCTATTGCATTAGATAAATTTTACGAACGGTTTGTGTCATTCGAAAAAAACAACTTTGTTGTGTTTCGAGATAGTCATTTAAAAATTTTGGTAAAACTATTTTGATAATTCAAATCATTTGTATATCATAAGACATGATAACATAATTTTAATCCCTAATTTTTTAATTATCAACATAAAAAAGTTCAAATTCTTTATCCATCTTAATTTACAATAAATTTATGTATTTATTATGTAAATTTTTATTGATTAATTATGTTTCTTTTTACGTATTAAGAATAATAATTTGAGATGATACGATGTCTATGATTTTGTGATTAAAATTACAAAAATAAGTTTGACTTTAAAATTTAATATGATGTTTTTTATAATGTCTATGTCACTACATGCCTATTGTTTACTTTTTGATTATCATGAATTAATTGGTGTTTGATGATTTTTTTTTAATTGAGCACAAAGCAAGTATGTATAAAAAATTATTTTACTAACATCTTAGTTAGTTGCATACATTTAGCAAATTTGATTTATTGAAAATTAATTTTTAGATGTTAATTAGCCATATAAAAAAAATCATTTCACTATCTTATTTTACTCTTATATCCAAACTATATATTGATATGAGTGAATTGTCAATTCTTTATATGAGATGATATACATATCAGCAATAAATAGTTTATTTTGTTAAGCACTAAAGATGACAAACTTGTTTTCCATGTCAAGAAATAATTTATTTTGTTAAGCAACATTACAATGTAACTAATGAAATACTAACACCATGTTTGATGAACACACACACACATGTGTGTGTGTGTGTGTCTATATGTATGTGTATGTATGTACATGTATATTTATATTTATGTGTATGTATGAATGTATATATGTGTGTATGTATGTATATGTCTCATGTGCACACTTATGAGATAATTTGCTTGACAAAACTATTAATCTATACTCGTATTCTATAACTTACGATGATCTATCAAATATTATTATTCAACATTAAGAATAGTGATATTGTTGAAAGTTAATATTGGTGATATTAACCATATTATTGATTTATTTATGAATTTTATTGCTCATACAAATATAAACAAATTGAGATTTGATTTATAAATTTATTTATATTGACCAATGATGATTGGCAATAAAAGTATTTGTTATTTTGTTATATCATGTTATCGAGATAAATGAGAAGTCAACCAAAAACAATATAAGATATATTGATTATATTAGATGCAAAGTCAATAAAATCAAATTTAAGTGGCATTGGAGGCAATAAGAGCTTTGTCAATATAAAAAAGTATTTCAATCTTCAACGATACGTAAGGTATGATAAGTATAAAACTTAAACAAGTATTCTAAATGTCAAATTATTAAAGTTTTTTTTTATTTCTCTATATATTTGACATTCATTTTTTTATAATGAAAATATGTGATACTTGTGTTTGCAATTAATTTAGATATTTGTATGAATTTTTATTGGTTTATGCTTGAGTTTTTTAATCTATGAGTCATGATTGAAAAAAAAATAGAGAGAGAGAAAAACATATAAATTCTCATTATTGAACGTTTTCAAATTAATTGTTACTAAAATGTTGATTTAACTGATTGTTTTATTAAGACTTGAAATGTCACATATGAATATAATTATTGTATTTTAAATGTTAATTATTTTTATGTGACTCTTATTGAAGTTGTCATTACGGTTCATATTTGACACCCATTACCTAGTTATGATGACATAAACAATTACGATAATAATAACCTTTTTAGTATATTATTTGTAAGATAAATTCTCAAGGGGCATGATTTAATAAAAGGTTTTTCATATATTATTTTAAATGTGAAAATAAAAATTCATTATATTATCTTATTTTAAAGAAATATACCTTATTGTTTGTTAATCTATAAGAAATAATTATGAATTTTGATGATAAAATGATAGAACGATCTATGCCATATCTTGTCTATAGTGGTAGCAAGAAAAATATATATTATGTGAATAGTGAGGGCATATAAAAAATATCGTTGCATTAAAAATATATATTATGTCAATAATTGGAGTATACGTAAAAAAAAATATTATAAGAATTACGAATAGGGAGAAAACAAGGAAAACATTAGGCTCATTTGGATGATCATTCATCACCGAGGCTACTCTTCTTGATTATTTAGATTGGAGGACTTTCTTAAGCAAACTAGCTAAGCGTGACAACTTATTTCTCAAAGCACACACTTTTTGCTGAAGGCTCTACTCGTCTTGGATTTTGTTATGGTCTTTCGTCCCGACCAAGTTGTTGGTGTTTAAGCGAATTGAGTTTTTGTTATGCGTGACTTATGTTTCTTTAGTCTTCTTTGTTCTCACAAACAATATATATAATAAATATACAAAATAAAAATTCATGCAAAAATACAAATCGCGTTAGATACACAAGCTTGATATTGCAAGTTTCAAATTATGACGGATCTTGAACTGAGGAAGTTTTAGGTCAAATTTTGTACTCACTAAGGGTCTAATCCTATAAAGACTTTAGGCAATTTGGAAGACATAAATGTCTATCATGTTTCTAGTTTTGATATTTGATGAAGAAACATGCACATACGTAGAAGATGTATTTCATAACAAATTACTAAAAGGAGAAGCAAAAATTAGGACTTCTATCACATTTCAAATATGACTTAGAGCCACTTCATTAAAAGCCAAAAAATATAACAACTCATGTTCTATATTACAAAAGATCTAACTCATACTTGATTTGAATTACAAAAGACATATCTATCTTTTTGTTACATATGAATACTCTTTTAATATTTCTACAACCTCGAACTTGGATAAGCAATAACGGTATTGAGAAATTTTTTGATCTTTTTAAAGAATTAGGTAATCCGATCCCTATAGGTAGGTTATGTATCTGCCGCTTGCTTGGCCATAAAGCATATTTATAGAGGAAATTTCCTTGTATTTTTAGCCCGCAAATGATACTCCATAGTTCAAGAGCCTTATTGGCTAACTTCTCTCCTTGCAACATGTCTCTCTTGTCGAAGCTTGGATCATTAAAGTGTGTTTGCCTCGTAACTTGGCTATTTCTTTACGAAATTTATGATGTAACTCATCTAATTGTTCTAAGTGAGTGTCCAACTATAAGATTATGTAAGCTCGACTTACGAATCCATAGTTGTAGGTTTGACCTCTTTTAGATTTTTTTTTCCTTCATCTTGAGTTCTTTTATCTCTTATTTAAGCTCTTATTTCTCAAAATCAAGTTTGGCTAGCTCTTCAATCATTTCGACTATAAATTCAGTCAAACCCTTATATTCTAAGCATGATGTGTTGATGTTTGATCTTTAATTATTCTAAGGCATTTTCACTCTACTAGAGTCAAACTCAAAGATCATCCTTCTCTTTTTTCAAAACACTTATTATTTGGTCTCGAGCCTCTAAATTCTTCTCTAACTTTTTTTCTCACTTATAGCTCTTTCAGCTTTGAGTTCAAGTCCTCATGATAGATTTCATGCTAAGCATTCACCTTTTGACATATGTTTTTTTATGGTCTCATTCATTAGCTTTATTGGACCTTTAAAGGGAAAAACTCGGTACCTTTTTTTCTTGATTGTTGCCATTTTGGATACCCATGAAAAGTTCTTTCATCAATTCTTCTCGTAGTAGTGATAACTTTTGTAACGCCCCGCCCCAATTATATTTCTACTACCCAAGTAGAGTATCGGACGAAGCGCGTTACGCCGACATACCTTAAACTCTAAATAGTGTTCTTATGATATTCTTAGGACTTTAACGAGTACATTACGTATATAACTCCTTAAGATAAAATTTACATAACATAATTAAATACATTAATAAAACACTACGGGCGATATTCAATTTCTCACGAACTCTATACCCCAAATTTATAGACAAAATAAAAACTAATATATGGTGCCTCACATGAGCCGGTTAGGAGGAGCCGGTCGCATCCGTACCAACTTGTCCTTTTTCCGTCAAGACATAAAAAAAATAACAACGAGGTGAGCTGAAGCTCGGTAAGCGAGGTGATGCACGTGATATGCAATGTTGTTTTGACTTCCCACCATACTCATTAATTTTAATCTCGGGTACCACAGGTATTAGCCGATCTACTCTATTTATCATCCGAGTGGTCCGCGGATCATCTTCTACTACAATGGAATTATCCCTCGTTGTAATTACTGTTAGCGAAAATTCATCGTCTAACGAGTGCAAGCACACGACTTGATTTCATTCGGATGATCCTCGGATCATCTTCTGCTACAATGGAATTATCCCTCGTTGTAACTACTATTAGCGAAAATTCATCGTCTAATAGTGCGGCATACATCCTAGAGTACTTGGACTACTAATACCCATTTATTCCGGTTAGGTTATCAAACCTAGATGTATAAATCATTTCTCAATCAATTGACTTATCTTAAACCACCCACTATGCACATGATGCACGTGATGACATATTTAATCACATTTAACCAAATTCGGGTACCAACCCTTCATTCTCATGTCATACTCATGGTCCAACCCACACTTGGAATTTATCCATTGCTCACATACCAATCATGATACCTATAGTGAGAACACAATCTCCGCTCATTAATATTGTTCATTAGTTTCATTAATATTTAAAAGAAGGTCCAAGTCCATTTACTTTAATCCGAGGCCATTAACTTTATCCTAGTTCCATTGACTCTATTTAATTCCATTTTATTTAGTCCAAGCTCATTTAGTTTATTCCAAACCTATTAATTTTGTCAATGTCTAATTTTTTTGGTTTTAGGGTTTGTTACTCGGGCAACTCCTAATCGAGTAAATAATTTTCTAATTTCATAACATAATTAAATCTTACTCATTTTATTTTAAATACTAGACATATTTATTTATAACATATCCAAAAAGTAGGTCTAAATACCAAGTACACAATTAATTACAAATTTTTGAAACTTAGGGAGCAATCTGCCTAATAGTAGTTTATCTAGAGCTATCCATACTAAATCAGGTGTAACTCTTTGTACATGAATCCAATGACCAAGAAATTTTAAAGGAAGTTAGTTGAAACATAGATGAACAACTTTTATGCTTTAAGTTTCACCTAGAAATCGATCTAAAATCCTTGAACATACACCCCAAAATTCGGACAGAATTTACTCCTTATTAACACTAATTTTTTAGTTCATTCCAAGCCAATTTTAAACATGTTTTAGTTCACTTAAATTTAGTCCAAGTTAAATCCAACCCATCACCACATACTTGGACATTTTTCAAAAAATTATAACATCATAAATCATCACAACAAGGCATTAGATTTATCCCAAGCATCTAGCATATAATCATTGAGGATTATTACAACTCATGAAATAAACACTAACAAAATAACTTAAAAAAAATAATTTAAGACATTAATCAGCCAAGAAATGAAACCTACTTACCTCTTTTAGGGTTGATTATAGTTTTCTTAGCTCTTTTTCTTTCCTTTTTCCCTTCCTCTTTTTCTTTCCTTTCCTTTCTCTCCTCACGTTTTTCTTCCTCTCTTTTCTTTCTTGCCTTTTCTCTCTCAATTTCTAGTACCTACGAGTTACTAAAATTTTTCTCCTATTTTAACACTTGCTATATATATATATATATATATATATATATATATATATATATATATATATATATATACTTAATTTCATTCAGCTACAAGTGTTAAAAATTATGAGATAAGGTGTAAAGGTTATGGGTGAGTCATGAGGAAAGTCTGGTTGCTTTGGAATCCATAATGGGTGAGTTGGCATTAAATTCATTTATTGCATTTGCTTAGGTGTCTATATAAAATTTAGACTAATTAAAATCATTAATTAACTTAATTAAAGTAACTAAAACTACTTTCTTTCATAAAAATTCAGAAATTTCCATTTTTAAAAATTCGGAATTTCTTTTCCTCCCAAAATTTCAGCGAGTGTTTCCTCCTAACCCATCTATACTAAAATATGCATAACTCTTTCTATATGTATCAAAAAATTATTAAATTTTATATATAGCTAGTAAACACATAGAAAAACAACTTTTATTCTTTAAGTTTTGCTCAAAAATAAATCTAACAGCATCAAATAAATCTCACAAGATTCGGGCAGATTTTTCTCCCAAAATTCCAGCGAGAATGCATTTCGAAATAACCCTCACTATAATTGGTATAAATCTTAATTTATAGGTATAAATATTATAAAATTTTATACATATCTATTCAACACATATATGAACAACTTTCATTATTTAAGGTTGACCCAAAAATTACCCTAAAGTCTTCAAATAATTCACCCAAAACTCGGGCAGAATATAGTCCTTAAAACACCGATTTTGCATATTTGATTTCTTTAATAATTAAACCATTAATCTTAAGCACAATAACTTTAATTTAACATAAATCACATATTTCAAGCATTAATTTCTCATGATGAAATGATAATTATACTTACTCTTAATATACATATATATAGAATTATTCTAATACACGTCGCGTTACGGATAAGGGTTTTTACGGGGGTTACAACTTTCTTCGTTGTTGGACTTTTTTGGTTTGCTCTAAAAGCCTCTTAAAAATTCTAAACTCCTTATAGAATTCTAATAATCCAGTATTCATCAGAATGAACTATTCGAATCTTAACTATCTTAACATTGGATTCAAATAATAGCTAATGCGAGCATCGAGTTTCTATCAAAGGTACCCAAAGATAGTTGTCATAACAAGTTAGGTAGTAGTAGAAGAAAGCATAGTATGCCCTATGATAAAACTCTAACGAGTTATGGATCGAGGAAAATTCTGATCCAAATGACTTGCCCAACTCATTGAGAGGATGATCAACAAAATCCTTCAACTTTGAGGATAAATGCCATGAAGCCTTGAAAATTTTGATTGCATTTCCTATCGTTACGTGATCGATTGTCCAAATAAATGACAATTAGATGCAATATCTTAAATATCCTTCACCTTTACGTCTATGGAAGTTCGGTGACGAGAGTTTCTCGGCTAATATTGTCATCGTAGGGTTAACCTTGAATGACATCATATTTTTAAAAACATTATCCGCCTCAAAGTCAATCATCTCTTCGGTTGATGGAAATAATACCAACCCATAAACTTATAGCACCAAGATTCTCAATTTGATGGTGCTATCTCGATCATCTAAACACTTCTTGAATTTTGGCTAAAGTAGACTCTAAAACCAACCTTAACTCTAACCTCTTTTTGTTGCTTACTTGGTCACAGATCATAAAATCCAATCCAACTAATCATCCATGGTTGGTAAGTGCTTGCTTTAACGGACTATAGGAGTACACGAGTGTTTGATTTCAAACAAGCCGGTAAGGCCTCATACTCCTCGAGTGTGAAGAAAAGATCCATACTCTTAAACGTAAAACATCGGTATTCAAGGTTTTAGTACCCTAATATAGCCTAAAATAAAGATATACGAGTTTTCACCTTGAGTAGTTGAGCTATATCTCCATACAGACTTCCTAAACTCAAACCGATCTTAGAAGGAAAACAACTCCCAACAATCAAACAAGTGGACTCGCATTAGCCAATCCGTCGATGAGTCCCGTCCTCTCTAGCAACCTATATAACAATCTAGAGAATAGGCAATCTTTTTCCTCGAACTAGGCCAGCTCTAACTTGGCCTTATTAAATAACTTGAATTTTAAATTGATAATAAATAAACACTTAAATAATCAATGACTTGAAGATAAAATAATAAACAAAATTGAAGAAAATGAACTTAAAGAAAAATAATCCTATGATCTAACTCGAATCTCTAATGAAAAAACATGGATACACACACACACACACACACACACACACACACACTAATGATCAAGCACATGAAGGTAAGCGTAGTAAAATAACTCTATTACATTGAAATAAAATGCATTAAAATATAATTTTCTTCCAAATGAAATGCTTAATGGATAAAAGAGAAAAATTTTAAAAAAGAAATATATAATCCTTGATATATTAAAAAAAGTTAGTTATTTATGGCATTACTTCATTATTAGTATACCGATTTTTTATTTTCTCAATGGAGTATGTAAACTTTATTTTTTTCATTTGAATACACTAATCTTTTCAAAATTGCAAATCAAGTACTTTCATTAATTTTTCCGTTAATCGATGACGTGTTTGTTACCCTTAGAATATCAAATTATAATTTTGTCTTTTTTGTCAACGAATTACATGAACATTATTTTTTCTCGTTTGAGTACATTAGTTTTTTTGCAACTTTCAATCAAGTATTTTCGTTAATTTTTCTTTAACTAATGGCGTGTCCGAATATGAAATTATAATTTTTTTCCTCCTCTTGTTATAAGGAACTTTTTCCCCAAATTATTCAACTATTTTAAAATTTAACAAAGAATTTTTTAAAAATATTTCTTAATTATAAAATTCTAAACTAAACTCGGTTAGACTTGTTGTAAAAAAACTTAGTAAGGTTTTGTACGTGAAAGTAGAAAGAAATACAAATACGAGATTTTTCATCAAGAATATTTATTTGTATTTTTTTCAATTTTTACTCCTAAACCAAACTCGAATGAGTTTAGTTTGAAATTTTATAGCTAAAAAGTAATATTTTTAATTTTTTTATTAAATTTTAAAATGGTAAAATAATTTAAGAATAAAGTTCTTTACAACAAAAGAGGGAAAAAAATAATTTTGTATTCGAACACGTTATCGATTAATGAAGAAATTAATAAAATTACTTAATTTATAGTTTTTAAAAAATTGATGTACTCAAATGAAAAAAATTAAAATTCATGTATTCTATTGAAAAAAATAGTAAAACTATAATTTGGTAATACAAAGGTAACAAACACATAATGAGTTAACGAAAAAATTAACGAAGTAGTCGATTGATAGTTTTAAAAAAATTGATGCATTCGAGTAAAAAAATTAAAATTTATATACTTAATTGAGAAAAAAACTAAAAGTTGACGTATTAATAATGCAATTATTTCATTATCCACTTACACAACTTGTTTATTGTGTAACCCACTATTCACGTGTGAATTATGCATATTAAGGAGAGAATTAGAGAGTATTTGTCACATGTTAATAATTTTCAAAAATACATCAATGGATGGTCGTCAAACTCTAAGGTACTTGCTTTCACTAAACCAAAGCCAATACATCTTACAACTACATTATAAATCATAACCGTGGATGAAATTATATCATAATTGAATCAAATAATTGATAAGATCAATTGAAATTTTCCATGTATTGATTGATCAATTGTTTTTTTTTTTTTTAATTTAGTTTTGAGTAAAACCTAACCATATTCACTTACTAACTTCATTATCATAATCTCAAATTATTTCAAAACAATTAATGTAGAGAGCCATTTTATTTAAGATATCATCCATAATTTTCCTAAACAGGACAAACACTAAAAAAAAAAAATGAAAATAAAAACAATTATTTTTAATAAATTATAACGACTATTCATGTTTAGCATATTTAAGAGAATACTAAAGGTAAAGTTTTGAATGTCAATAAGTTAAATTGTAAGAAACAAATATATTATCATAATTATTCTACTAAACACTAAAAATACACGGGATGTTCGTTGTTCATTTGAACAATGAACTCCCCATATTACCGCTTGTTTTACCCGTTCATTTGAACATCCTTTTTTTTTTCCTTCCACTTTCTATAGCCAAGACCCTCTTTTGGCTTTTAGTAATTTTTTATTTATTTTTTGTAATGGTATTTTCATGATTTCCTTATAGTTTTTTTTTGTCCTTTATATTTTCAAAATATATTTTTAAATCCTCATATTTTTAAATTTTTGTTTGAAATATCATGTTTTTGATTTAATATATTTTTACCTCACTTTTTTTTTCAAAATATACTTTTTGCTTCTCATAATTTTTTTTTTAAATATTTTTGGCCTCTTATGTTTTTAAATTTTAGAACAAACACATATATCAAATTATATTTTTTTATTGATTAAAATTAATCTCTTAAATTTGTCATTTATTATAAAAATTCTCATCAAATTAAATTTTTTATGAACTTGTATTTGTTGATAAATATGGTTTATTTTTTTAGTTTTGTTGAAAATTAATTATGTATCTCCATACAAAACACAATTAGTCCCTTTGGTTAAAAAAACTATTTTTTTTCCTTTTTGCAATTTCAATGTTTTTAGTTTTTTTTTTAAATAGAGAAAGACTAAAAAATATTAGGAAAAATATAAAAAAAGACTTTTTAAAAATAAAAAAATAAATTATTCATCGTCAACGATAATAGAAAAATTAATTAATTCATTTTTCAAAACGAGATGAACTAATTTATTATTTAATTTACAATTTAAGGATCTATTTCATCATACATTAAGAAGTAAGATTTATGGAAAATGATTTTGTAGTAGTTTTTATTTCAGATTATTGATTTTAATATATTACATACAACTTAGATGATTTTTTATTAAAAAAAAAATTGTTTACACGATATATACTCCGAATTTATTAAGTATGATATATATAATTTTATTGAAAATTAATTATGTATCCGTATACATAACACCATTAGTTCCTTTGATTCGAAAAATATTTTTTTTTCCTTTTTGCTATATCAATGATTCTATTTTTTGTTTTAATAAATAGAGGAAGAATAAAAAAAATAATTGTATATATATAATTAGTTTTATTGAAAATTAATTATGTATCCGCATACATAATATTTATTATTTGTAATTTATTCTTTTTTATATTCTAAAATTAATATTTTTAAATAAAATAATTAAAAAATATATCGTTAGTTTTGTTATAAATTAATTATGTATTTACATATATAACTCCAGTTATTTATTATTTATTATTTTTTATGTTCTAAAATCAATTTACATTAATTATGAAAAGTAAAATTTTTACCCACACTACACCATACAAATTATTGACGTTATATACACGATTGTCCGAACATAGTGTAGTCTAGGTATCTAACATGTAAATAACTATAGAAAGATGAAAAACATACAAGTAAAAAAAAAAAAGAAAAATTAAAGAAAAGATTTTAAGAATAAAAGGAGGAGCTCCTCTAGAAAATTCTCTCTTGTTTGAGAACGAGAAAACGGGTTTTTAATTTTTAATTTTTTATTGTGGTTAAATAAGAAGTTTTTTTTCCGTCCAAGAAATTAAGAATTCAAATTTTATGATTGAATGGTTTTGTAACGAGAAATTAATAGACATACTTGCAATCTGCTTAGTAACAGCTACGGTCGCCTTTCTCAAGGGCAGAGTGCATCTTTCGGGGTTTTTTTTTTTTAAGAAGGAGGACGAGGAAGGAAAGTCCCTCCCTGCCCTTCCTGCCTTCCCTCCTTCAAATAGTAACTTGATCCAATCGCTGTACCTTCCTCTAGATTCTAGGGTTTCTTTTTCTCGCGCAAACAAAACTACACAGCAAAAGGGAGCGGTCCTCATCTCTCGTTTTCTCTCTTCCCCGCCACTCTTTTCTTAATCAGTTCTATTTTTCTCTCTCTCCCAAATATCCTCAAAAGATCTCCTCCTTATTTTCGCAATCACAACATACTCCAAACCCCCTTTCTGCTAACAAAATTAACCCCCCCAAAATTCAATTCTTCCCTCTCCATTTCACCCAATGCAGCCTTCCAATCCCCCCGAATCCAATTCAAATCCTACCGATAACCGCGAAAACCCTAAATCGCCAAAATCCTCCTCCACCGAATTCAATGCCACCGGCAACTCCGCCACCGCAAACAGTAGCAATCATGTCGAAAAAAGCTGTGATAATGTGGACGATGAATTAGTTCTTGATGTTACAGGTAAAAGCCTGGAATTTGATTTATTAGAAAAAGCTGAAGATTCAGTGGAGGGTTTATATTTGTATAAGAATGCGTTTAGTTTGGTGCCAAAGTCAGTGGGCGGGTTAAGGAAACTGAGGAAGTTCAAGTTTTTTGGGAATGAAGTGAATTTGTTTCCGGCTGAATTTGGGAATTTGGTGGGATTGGAGTGTTTGCAAGTCAAAGTATCATCGCCAGGGTTGAATGGGTTGAGTTTTAATAAATTGAAAGGGTTGAAAGAGCTTGAGCTTTCGAAAGTACCGCCAAGACCTTCAGTCTTGACGATTTTGAGTGAGATTTCTGGGATCAAGTGCTTGACAAAGCTCTCTGTTTGTCATTTCTCTATAAGGTAAGTTTGTATATTGGTTTTGAATTATATTATCTTTTTCAGTGTTTATAGGGTTTAGGAATGGAGGAATGTGAAAATTTCAATGGAAGAAACTGAACTGAATCTTGTTCTATCAAGAAAAAGAAAAGTACACTACATGGGGTAGCTATGTAGTTTCACATTTGAGTTAAATTAAGAATTTTTAAATTTTGCTTGCTTTTTATCTAGTAAAAAAAAAAAGAAAAAAGAAAAAGAAAAAGAAAAATAGTTGCAAAGGTATGAAGTTATGAGTTCCTGTTAAATTATGAAATTGTATACGAGTGTTATTGTTTGGCTGGCATACTAAAATAAATAATAATACTTGCTTTATTTTGAGTGAAAGGTATCATTTATGTTGGAGATGTTGATTTTAAATGTTGTTGATCATTGGGTTCTTGTAAGAACCACAGTAAATGGTGGTTTTTGGTGAAAGAGAGATTGTGTTTGGATCCAATAATGTAATTCTTTGTTCGCTCTCCTTTGTTGTTATTGTTAGCTTAGGTAATGAAAGAATTTTCTTTTCAATTTATACCAGCTCGAAATTTTCTGAATAGAAGTTGGACAATAAAGATATTTGGCTGTAAGAAATCAATGCGTGGAGCTGATTGATCTCTTCTTTTTGGGGCAAATTTACAACTAAGGATGGGTCTAATGACATGTGTTGTAGGCTACTGTGGGGTCTGAAATAAACACCATAGGAATGAAGCATGGGCATTGTCTACTTGACTTATTGTATTGGCATGTATTCTTTAGATTGGCATACAGAGTTCTTTTTCATCCAGGCCTTTGTAGTTTAGCTTGAATATATATATATATATATATAGAAAATGTTAAGTTCGTCAAATTAGCTTTCTAGGTGCCTGACTCCCCTAACCTTTTCCTTTTCAACGCCTCAAGTTTTTTTGATCTATGTTTAGCTTCCATTGCTTCTATGTATTTAATTATAGAACTATCTTGTTCAAAACAATGGTTAGACATTTTGAGACACGTTAAAACTAAATCCAATGAAAAAGATAGAGTGGCTAATGCTTGAAGTTTTGAAGAAATAGTTGAAGGTTAATTGGTAAAAATTATCAAGGAAGGAGGGGAAAAACATTGAGAGTGGAGTCACCTTAAGGTGATAAATTAAACAACACAATTGATAAGCATCATATTCTTGGAAGGGTAAACAGAACATAATCTTTAGTGTTACCCTAAATCCAATTTTGGCACCCATCTGATCTTTTGGACCTTAAGAAATATTTCAGTTCTGGGTGTAATACCTCCAAGTAAGTCTAAAATGAATTTCAGTTTCAGTCTTCAGCATTCCTAAGTTGTATGTCAGTACCAAACTGTAGAGATGTAATTCTTGAATATAAATTCACAAGTTTAGTTAGCTACATATTTTTTTTTATGTGAACTTTGAAAAAAATAAAACAGAGAGATCTGATGTTGTAATTTTTCCTGCAGATATCTTCCTCCCGAAATTGGCTGCTTATGTAACTTGGAGTACTTGGATCTGTCATTCAACAAGTTAAAGAGTCTGCCAAATGAAATAACTTATTTAAATGCCTTGATATCATTAAAAATATCTAATAATAAGTTGGTTGAACTACCCTCAAGTTTGTCCTCATTGCAAAGATTGGAGAGCTTGGACCTATCAAGTAACAGGCTGAAGTCATTGGGATCTCTTGAACTTACTTCAATGCATGGCCTCCAGTATTTAAATCTTCAGGTACTTTTTTTATAATGGACATAGATCCATTTCTTTCCCAAAACTTTTAGGGAGGGTTGTGATTTACTTGCAGGTTCCAAGTTTTTAATGGTACTGACATTCGGTTCATTGATTGCTCTAAGATGTAATAATCTGCTCTCCAGAATACTACTTAATATGCCTCAAAACATATGCTGCTGCTGCTTTACTCAACATGTTATCCTAACCTTTTGCATTAAGCAACTTTAATCGTTTCGGCCAGTCTTGTTCAGGTGCCATACCTCTGTTTAATATGCTAAATATTTGCTTTGTAATTTTTATTCTGTTTCTCTGTTAGAACATCTATAATTCATACTCTTCTATTTTTTTTCTTCAGGTTTAAATTGTTTATTTTTTCCTTTTGTTTTATGTTTTTCGATCATATTATAGTACCTTTAATAGCATTCAGTGGCGTTGGCTGTTTGGTGTGATAAGATCTTTTTATTCATCACATCTCCTGGCCTGTTGTACTCATAGCTAGGTGAAAGTTGGGGATCATGTCTGGTCATTTTGCCACATTTAATTGTGGCTGCAAGTAGTTTGTTCTTGACATTGAGAACATGATGGTCGTACATTATTTTGTAGTATATGACTCTAAGCATTTTAACTTCCTTTTGAAAGTCACTTTGATACGTCAGCAAATTTTGTAATGGAAGGGTGATCCTGTGGTTAAGTTCCTTAAATTACTTTTGTTGATGCAAAATTTGCATGTCCAAAGCCTAACATGTTTGTTGATCTTCTTCATGCTTATTGTTTTCCAGTACAATAAGCTTCTCAGTTGTTGTCAAATACCTTCATGGATATGCTGCAATTTGGAAGGAAATGGCAAGGACTTGTCAAATGATGATTTCATTAGCTCTTCAGTTGAAATGGATGTATATGAAGCCTCCTTTCAGGAGGATGACAGAAATTTTTCTTGTAACGGTGAGGACTTTCAAGACATTTTCTCTTTATATACGTGCAAAGCCTTTTTGTTATGGATGTCTTGGGTTTTTTATTCATTGGGTCTACTTTAGTGTCAAATGAATTTTTGATGATCAAGAATGTGATGCAGGTTCCAATCATGCTGCATCAAGCATAGTGACTGGGCCTTCATCAAACAGCAGATGCTTTTCAGCTCGGAGGTCCAGTAAGCGTTGGAAACGACGACATTATTTGCAACAAAAAGCTCGTCAAGAGCGATTAAACAACAGCAGGAAGTGGAAAGGTGAGGGCCGTGCTGAAGCTTTGGCTCTGAAGGAAAGTGAAAGTTTCAAATCGGACAATCTAGTTGTCCATACCTCTGATATTCATGAAGAGGGTACATCAGACATCGTAGGCCTGGATGATGATGATGAAAAAGTTGAACTTTCTGGAGACGCCGAAGTCGAAAATCTGCTTATCAAAGTTGAAGATGATAAATTCAGCTCAAAAAAGGGCTTTTCTGCAGGAACCTGCTCATGCGACCTTGGGTCTATAAATAAAAGTGAGGAAGAAGTATGCTGCGTGCAAGATGAATCTTTAGCCCCTATAGAGGGTGGCAATGGTAGTCAGGATGAAAGTTTATCTTCAGAAAAATCCAAAATCACTTACAAGTTAAAGAGGCATTATGATAGGGATCTTGATAATCCAAAACCGTGCAAATGTCGGAGACCAACAGAAGATAGCTCAAGTTTGTCTCACAAATACAGCGACCTTTCATTTTGCAGCATTGAGGACCATCTACCAGATGGCTTTTATGATGCAGGACGTGACCGACCTTTCATGCCACTGAGGAGTTTTGAGCAAATCTTGCCTCTTGACTCACGCGAGGTCATTCTTTTGGACAGGTCAACTCTTATTCATGATGTCATGCTCATAGGGAACACAATTGCTCTATTATTTTGTGGTTAGATAATGCTTTTTTACTGTGAATGACCATAATTTCTTATTGTTTCTTTTAGGGAGAAGGATGAACAATTGGATGCAATAGATCTCTCTGCTCAAGCATTGGTGTACCGTTTGAAGAGAGTAAATGGTTCTACCAAAGAGAGGAATAAGGTTGCTGTTGATAACTTGCAGATTGCATCATTGCTTGCACTTTTTGTTTCTGATCATTTTGGGGGCAGTGATAGAAGTGGTGCTGTTGAAAGGACACGGAAAGTAGTGTCTGGTTCAAACTACAGGAAGCCTTTTGTTTGCACATGCTCAACTGGAAATAATCAAAGTATTAGTTCAGCTGGTGAACACACTTTGGAACCTGTAGAAGATGTTATTTTCTCGGATCTCTGTGAGAGATCTTTGCAATCTATTAAAGCAAGACGACGTTCCATTGTGATTCCTTTAGGGAGCTTGCAGTTTGGTGTTTGTAGGCACAGAGCCTTGCTAATGAAGGTAACTCTTGTCTTGCATCTTTTTACAATAATCGTTGAATATTTATGTACCTAGCACTACATTTTCAGTCATTATGATCTAATAAAACTAAAATTGCTCCAGTATCTGTGTGACCGAATGGATCCTCCAGTACCTTGTGAACTTGTCAGGGGTTACTTGGACTTCACACCACATGCCTGGAATGTCATTCTCAGCAGGAGGGGTGGTTCATTGGTCCGGATGGTGGTGGATGCATGTCGTCCACATGATATTAGAGAAGAAACAGATCCAGAATATTTTTCCAGGTTAGTCCTACTATTTAAAGTGGTGATGGCAATGTTGTTTCGTTCAATATGCTAAACATGCAGATGCTAGAATTCATATGCTTAAGGATATAATATCACGCAACATATTTTGCCTCTGGTGTGAATTCTTGTATGTAAAGTTATGTTTGTTAGGAGGAAATTTCACCTCTTTTTTGGGTAAGACAAAATGTTTCAGGTTAAAATTTCAGGAGATGGGTGAAACTTTACTCCCCAGCCACCAGGGTTAAGATTCACCCTTGAATTTTTTTCTCGAAATTGACACTCTTATCTCTCACTGGTCTTTCTCTTTCCTCTAAGTTGATGCTCCTGTCTCTCTTGCCACTCTCCTTGCTTTACTGTCCAGCGATAACGATTATCCATGACCTCTAAAACACAGATCCAGCAAATATTTCGTGGATTTTTTTGACTTAAACCTTGCCTATTGTTTAATGACTTATCCAAGCTCTATCTCCCCATCTAAAAAAAGCTGTAATCTTCACCTGGCATGTTGTAATCTCATTTAACAGTGATGAGCTTGCACCAATCTCAACCTTCTTGCATGACAAACCTGCATCTCACACAAAAGAAAAGAAGGCTGACTCGAAGCAAGTGTTTTGAAGTGTACAAAAGAAACTGGAAGAGACATAATTTTTGTTTATCATTAAATCATTGATATGTGCAAGTGGTTTGTGAATTCTACCAAACAAAATTAATTTTTACACCCTCAAAAAATTTCCCCCCTTAAAATTTATGCCTTAAAAACTTACTCCGTCAATCATCCACCCTGACTTTTTTCACCCCATACCAAACATAACCTGAACATTGAAGAATTTTTTATTATTTTGGTGTTTGAGCAGAAAACTTTTGCAGAATTAAATATGTAGTTCTAGAGCTAGTTAGAGATTTATTATATTTTGATCTAGTGTTTCTATGTCCTCTTTACCATTTGGTGTTTTTAAGGGAGCTGTAGATCGGAATGCCCTTTTATTGTGCTTTGTTGTTTTGGATTATGGCTTGTTTTCCAGTCAAGTTTTGTACAACTACTTCATAATGGTATCTTTTTTATCATCCAAAACTAAACACAGATTTTGAGGGTTAACTAAGGAAATGATAGAGCAAAGCATACAATAAAGAAAGTTATGTAGTTCAATGCACATTGAAATCACAGGAACAAACTAAAGCATTTGTTCCCCAAACAACTTCCAAGAATAGGATTATGTTCTTGGTCCACATCTACTCCTTGCCTTATGCATTTTATTTCATATTCTTGTGAATTTGCTTGTTACTACAGGTATATTCCACTCAGTCGGACTAAAGTTTTCCTCTCAATTGAGAGCATTCCTGGTCCTGGTTGTTCATTTCCTTCTCTGTCAACTTTTGATGAGATTGAAAAGGTGGGTTCCAGTACTCTTATTCAGTGCAAATTTGGATCAGTTGAAGCTGCAGCAAAGGTATGTTCAGCTTTTGCAGCTTTGTATTGTCAAAAGTGGAGAGATTCCCTTGGACAACATACAAGAGTTGCTGGCGCTAATTAATGAACTTTTCTGATGTTTCAGGTGCGTACTTTAGAGGCATGTGAGGCTTCAGCAGATGAAATTAGGAATTTTGAGTATAGTTTTCTCGGAGAAGTAAGAATTTTAGGCGCTCTACAGCACTCTTGCATAGTTAAAATGTACGGACACCAGCTGTCTTCAAAGTGGATTCCACCAGAAGATGGAAATCCAGAACGCCGCGTATTAAAGTCTGTTATTCTTATGGAGTATGTTATCGGGGGATCTTTAAAGGTGATTTTTTTCTTTCTTTTGCATTTTTAGTTAGCAGATGCAAACATGATAGTAGCATAACTAGTTACCTGCCTTGGCTTTGCTTTGGGCTACGACAAAGAATTAGACCATAGTTACTTCAAATCTTACATTTTTTATTTTATTTTATATAAAGCAACTAAATAATTCTATAAAAATCAGTTTCTTACCATCTTAAAAAAGTTGATCGACAAAATTTGTTTGATATTTTTTGTTTTGCTTCGGATGTTTTACTTATTTTTTTCATTATCCAATGAATTTTTTTTTTGTTGCTTATTCTTTTCAATTTGCTCTAATTGCAAACCCAGTAGAGTTTTCCAATCAATATAGTTAATAGTACAATATAAAACAGTCGTAATCAAACATGTCAAATTAGTAATAGTGAATTAGTATTTACATGCAGGTTTTCATAATTAGCCTCAACTATTTCATTATCTCATAATCATTCATCATCTATATATAAAAAATAAGTAAGTAAAGTGGTATTCACATTTTTAAATGTAAGGATTGAAATGAAATGTTTAAATAGCATGGGTATTGCAATTAGTTTATAGAAGAATATGAACTATATTTTAAATTTACCTATTCTGAAAAAAAAAAATCCTGCAATTTCACAAGATTACTCAAAACCAACTATTGGCAGACACATCCAAACCCTCAAATCCTCAAGCTTGTGCCACATGTCACTCAATGCTTCATCTAATATCCCAACATTAAGTAGCTTCATGTCATCTATTCCTCAACACTCACACAGTCATATACAGTAGAATTACGAACAGAAAGGTTTGGCCTTGGTAGTACGCCAACGAGGAATAGGATTCACATAGCTTCCCCAAACTAGTGTATGACCAAGACATGGTCTAGTTTAACTGTATTTTATACATAGTAGTTTGATCACTTTCCATGTATTCCTTGCTGATTATTGCTCTCTTGATGCATCAGAATTATGTAAGGGAGGTATCAAAAACTGGTGAGAAGCATGTACCGGTGGAGATTGCATTGTGTATAGCTCGAGATGTTGCATCTGCATTGGCAGAGATTCACTCCAAAGATATAATTCATCGTGACATAAAAAGTGAAAATATTTTGATTGATCTAGATGATAAGAGAGCTGATGGCATGCCTGTAGTGAAGCTCTGTGATTTTGATAGAGCTGTGCCACTCAGGGCTTTCTTGCATACATGTTGTATTGCTCATAGAGGGATCCCGCCTCCTGACGTTTGTGTTGGAACGCCACGGTGGATGGCTCCAGAGGTATTGCGTGCAATGGATAAACGCAGCATATATGGTCTGGTATGGTGCTTCTTCTGTCTGTTAGTTTGGAAAAATCAATAATTCATAGTGCTTTGCTTCATTTTTTTGCCCTCATGTGATTGATAACATTTCCATTGCAATTTTGTTACAGTTGTGTGAGTTCCATAAAATTTCTATCTTTGGAACGAGAGCAATTTTTATCAGTCATAATGTAAACATAAAACTAAACACATGCATGTCTAGCTTTCATTACCTTGAATTGAGAATGGAGAGGAAGGGATGATCTTTTGGGATTGTTAGCATTGTAGTGGACGGAGGTGAAGGAAGTGCTCTTTAAGGCTGAGTGGATGTGACAGCTGTTTACCAACATCTGTGTAGTCTTTTAAATGTTTTTTTATCAGCTGCGATGAAGTGTGAAGCTAATTATTACTTTTGCTGTTCTATACTTATCTTCATAACGTGTAGAATGTGCTGGATTAATATAATTGAGGGTTTATTCCATGAATTGGACTGGCTCTACATTCTAACAGACTTATCATCGACAAATACCAGCATTTGAGGAACTGGTTGTTACATAACATCTGATGTAGGATAAAATTTCTGATTTCTCAAAATGCCACTCAGTTTGGTACAATTGTTGATATCTGTATCAAAACTGTATTAAAACTGGGTATGCTTATAAGACGGACTATGCCAAATATGTACAATCTTTGTGATGAATTTGTGTTGTGCTGTGGCTCCATATCGCATATAAAAACATACTGCATTCCATATGCTTTAGTTTGTGCAGGTTAACAGTATGAGTTATAGTGGGATTTTCTCTTCTGGTTGTAGGAAGTGGATATTTGGTCATATGGATGCCTGCTTCTGGAATTGTTGACTTTACAGGTCCCATATACTGGCTTACCTGAACCACGCATACGTGAGCTTCTACAGGTACATCTCTCTATAAACTGAAACTTTCTAATGGATAAATGAGGGTAGTTAACACTTATTGGTTGCTCTTGATATAAGCAGTCAGGTAAACGACCACCACTAACTGATGAGCTAGAAGCATTGGGATCCATGGACGAGCATTTGGTGACTCAGTCTGGGTCAAATCTGGAGGGACCTGAGGCTGAATCAGAAACTCTGAGATTCCTTATAGATTTATTCCGTCAATGTACCAAGGAAAATCCAGCTGACCGTCCTACGGCTTCAGAAATTTACAAATTATTGCTTGCACGCACAAACATTCACTAGCCGAAGGAGTTAGGAACAGGTTTAGATTAATTTTTGGGTAATAATTTTATTCCCAACCCCAAATTTTTGTAGTTCTAGGATGTTTTGTTATTATATTCAATATTTGTGGCTTCTGGGATCAAATCTTTGGGTTTTCCCTACAGTTAGTGCTCGTGTACCATCATTGTAGTTGGAGAGCTAGAATTAGCGGTGTCTTCGAACTTTCTTCATGAGTAATATTCAGGTCATAGGTACCAGGTTTTTTTTTTTTTTTTTTTTGCTAATCTATTGGAGATCTGTAAATTTTCGAGGTAGTCGTGTCTAATTGTTTGATGTTTGGGCTTCGATGTATTTTTTCAGTGTAAGGAGACATCAGATAAATTATTAATATTCTCAAAAAGTTTTAAAAAAGGCTTGCAAACTTAAATCTTATTTCTTTGGAAGAGGAATATGAACTGATCATGGTTTTGATTTCTTTGCCTATTTTGGGAAGGATATTTTTACATGTCAGTTGCAAGCAGGTTGCTAGACTTTGCTGTGCAAAAAAAAGAAAAAAAAGAAAAAAGTACTTCGCTAGACTTCTATGGTTATTTTGCTGGCCTTGTGAATTATCTGCTTCTGCATCATCACCCTTTCAAACCTGCAATGAAATTCCTTGTATGTTATGGTTGATATGCTGGCCGACGCAATTATGCAGTCGACTGAGTGAGCTGGGCCACCGTCAGGAACTGACAGTCAGTATGTGTTTAATGAACTCTGCTAAACGAATCTGAGGGCTAAAGAATGTTTCACCCTTGTACTGGGTTTGGTAAAACGTAACGGAATGTGATGTTATAGAAGGAATCGGTGTTCCTTTTAGCTTTTTATGTTGTTATTTGCTTTTCGCAGGTCAAAATATTATCCAATCCGCAGTTCATATTGTTGGGAACTGACTCCTCGCTAGTGGCTAAAACTGCGGGGCTCAAGCAGGGGAGAGTTTTCACATGTCGAACAAATAAACGTTCTATTTTATGATCACATTACCACTGCAAAACCTCCTCGGAGACATGGTTTGCCCTTTTTAAATGTGAAGAATTAAACAAACAGGAGTAGACACGTATGCAACTAAAGCAATCTCCTAGGAAGTGTTAACGGCACATGCCAAGTATCTGAGACCGCAAAGCTTTTGATTTCCGAATAGAGGTGGATCCAGCATGGGTAGATTACTACTTGTGTTTTTGACTTGCTGCAACCAGGTGTGTGTACTCATGTATCCGTTTCCCCACTTTTGCAACTGTTTTGGTTAGAGAGAGAAAATGCCGTGCTGTCTAGATCTTGAGTATAAAGCAAGGAAAAGTGATATTTGATTGGAAAAGATCATCATTCATTCCATCTAGTCATTGCTAGTTGCTACAATACCATTTTATTTTCTCTTTCGTCTTTTCAGTTTCTTTTCTTCGAGTAAGCTCTGTGAATTTAGAATGGAAAGTCAGGGTGCAGCCAGCTTCACCGTGTATCAGAGCACTCCAATGCACTAGAAACCCGTTCTAGCTGGCAGCTCAACTGCAGTGCGGAGTTGCCTAATTTTATGTAACCATATATGTTCAGAAAAAACTGTGCAAGTTCGCTATCAAGAGAGAGGTAGTGAAGTGTTTCTCGTTATTGCACATAGTTATGGTCATCTTACAATACTGTTAAGGCCGGGGACCATCTCAAATTCTTCTCACCTCACTTCACCTCACCGAACCCTAAACTCTGCTCGCCAAGAAAGACCGGTAAGTAAGATACAAGAGTTTTCAGTAATCCAGGCTTTATTGAGGTCACTAGAAAACACGCACGTCAAAGAAACCTCTGTCCCTCCCTCTTTGTGTGTATGTTTATGTAAAGTTGCTGTGAAAAAAAGAAAACCACAAGGAGAGGGACATCAACATCGGCACCAAGATGAAGATCCACCTTGGGTTGTTTACACGCGTGTTTTGACGTATCTCGTGGCATCATATGCTCCATGGACCCCCTAGATTAGGTGCCTTGTTTCGTATCATACAGATAATAGGCATCATAATTCTATCATGCAATCCTGCCTTCTTCTTCTTGTTTTTTCTTTTTTCAGTAATCAGTATTCAACTTTTAAGTGACTTCAACAAACCATGTATTCACGAATGTTGACCCAAAAATTCCATGCGATGCTTCGATAATGTAAGACCATGAATGATCTGTACAATCTTTGATTAAAAAAGAAGAATCCGTACAAGCTATGTTCTTAATAAAGGGCCCTTTTTTTTTCCTTCCTGGATGCTTGCAACCCTCCAAACTGGAGGTTTTAGATGGTTCATGGTGATGCCTGCATTTTTCTAAGATAAATTGACAAGCAGAACTGCGTGGGAGGTTTAGTTAACCTTTCACGGGTCTAACTAGAAGACAAAATCATGCAAGCCCGTGTTCAGAAACTGGACCACATCTACGCATTCTAGGTCCACAGCGTATGGCCCGCCCATTAAAGTCTTTGTGGCCTAGCAAGGGCCTCTCGTCAATGTGAAGAGAATTTAGATAAAATTATATTAGCAAAGTAGAAAGGATTACATGGAATGTGAGAGATATAAGTAGAAATTTAGACGTCCGATAATCTAGTGGCTCACCTATTTGAAGCAATTAGTTGTTACAGTACGTTCTTTCATGTGATCCCTACATTGCCTCCAACTTGGATGATCAAAGTACTAACCAGAAGCGATTATTTTTTAAAAATTATATTTATTTAGTTCTTCTAATCTAATTATTTTTCACATCTAAGTCTAATTTAATTTTTTTTGGTAAAAATTTCTTTAATTATATTGATTTGCTTATAAGCAGAAAAAAAAACTTAACTTTTCAATTGTTATATAAAATTTTGTTATTAATATTAGTTAAAATATTTAAAGTAATCTCATCTTAATGCTCTATAATATGTTTTGTTAACCTTAAAAATCTACATTCAAAATCAAGAAGTTTCATTTTTCACCCTTTAATCAGGAAAAAAAAGCATGTTTAATTGAATCTCAATATTCATACAAATTTATAACATAATTAAAATTTTAATATCATTTGATATATTTGCTTCAAATAAAGGATTTCATATTAGTAATTTTTTTTTATCATAAATTTAATATTTAATTCTAAAAATCTTTTATTTACAGAAAATATTTTTTAAAAATTATAGTATCGTTGCATATATTTTTGTTTAAAATCGTGATATATAGTTGTTTTTTTAAACAATGATGGTCAATATTTTTCGAACTAATAAATAAATTAAACTTATGCTAAAATTAGTTTCATTGTTTCTGCAATTGGTACGAACTCTAGCTAGTAAACAACTAGTCACAGGTCTGCATTTGCGTCGGGTGGTCCAATTTTTATTTAGTTTGTATTATGATTTTTATTTAGTTTGTATTATGATATTGTTTAAATTGAAGGTAAATATTCGAAGAAAATTAGAATAAGGTCGTTTTACCTTATGCTTTTATATTTTGTAATCCTTTAGTTATTGTTGGAAAACCTTCTTGAGAAATTAGCAATGCCATTATTAAAAGGAAAGAAGAAGTTTCTACACGTGGCTATTAGCTTTCCTTTATACCTAATTATTATTCAGTTAGATTAGTATAATTAGTTTTTATAGTTAGTTGTTATAGCAAGTCAGTTACATTTAATTCTTCCTTTCTTCAGTTAGTACAAATAGCTAAGTAAAATGAAAGAGTAGCAGAGCTTCGTAACAAACATTAAAAGGAGAATTCATCTTTTGCTTCTTCTCCCACTTCATCTTCAAATTTTCTCTCTAACTCAAACATGGTATTAGAGCCATGTTAAATTAGGGTTCAAATCATCTTTACTAGCTTGAAAGATCATCAATAGCGAATTTTATTGTGAATTCTTTTGTCAAAAATTCACAATCTCCATACTTTCTTAATCACTCGAGTAATCACAGACTTTATAATTGTTTCACCGTAGCCGACTTCAAGCAATTATACTTCGAAGTTGATCCTTCTTGCTAGCACTTTTGATTCGTAACAAAATTGGATTTGTTAACGAATCAATTCCTACACCAGCCTAGTAATGATTCTCTATATGGTCCTTGGTTGTGTTACAATGATCTCATTATCTCTCGTCGCTTAGATTGATTTCACATTCGATTGCAGCAACAATTTTTTACATGAATTCTATGGCGAGAGATTTAGAAGGTGCTAAAGAAGCAATTTTCTCGAGTTGACGATCCCAAGACATGCAATCTTCAACATGCATTGTCTACTATGAATCAAGGTAATCGAAGTGTTAATGAATATTTCATTTAATTGAATTCTATTTGGGAATAAACTCGTGAGTATGGAGAATGCAATGCTAATTGCTTCAAGAAGTTCATTGAGTTGCAATAGAAAGATTATGTGTATCCTTTCTTGAATGGTTTAAATGAATCATATGCTGGATTAAGATCACATGTGATCATGATGAAGCTATTTCCTTCATTAGATGAAGTCTATAACTTGATAGTAAGGGATGAATATCGAGAGCTATCTAAGTGTCAATTCCAATCTTTCTCTCGTTGTTTTAGCTATGCCAGCTAGAGCGAACTTTCATAATAAGCCTAAGAATAACTTTGTTTGTGTACATTATGGTAAGCCTATGCACACTAAGGGGAGATGTTATTGTTTGATTGGATTTCCCGACAATTCTACGTTTATGAAGAATAAAGGAAATTTTTTAACAATGAACTCGCAAATTCACAAACAAGTGAAGGCTCATTTGTTCCATTAAATTTTGCAAAAGTTGATGATGACACAACAATTAATAGTTTAGTTTTAAGTCCATTGTCTCAAGTATCCTTAACTCAACATCAAGTTCAACGATTAATGACTCTTCTTAGTACTCAAGATGCACAAACACCTCATTCTATCACATTTGAATCTGGAGCTTCAATCAATCTATCTCGCTTTTTCTAATCTTACAGGTATAAAAATTGCTTAAAATGATTTCATTATAACTTCACATTACTATTACATACAAATTTTAAAGCATTCATTAGGCTTCATGAATCATAACTCCTGGATAGTGCATGCGAGTGCTTCAAATCATATCATTTGTTCATTGGACTTTTATTGTTCTTTTTCATACCATCAATCACGTGTTTGTATCAATACCAAATGGTTTTAAAGCAGATTGCTACTCATTCCGGCATTGTTTATTATTTCTTGACAATGTCATCTTTGTTCCTTTTTTTTCCAATTTAATCTCATTTTAGTCGATAGAAATAATTGATTCCGGCAAATATGTTCTTGATTTTTACAATAATTACTATTTCATTTAAGCACTTCCTTCTTGGACGGTGATTAGACTTGCTAAGGTCAAATGTGGTCTTTACTTCCTGCAAAATTCTCTATCTCTAAATCCTTCGATACTCGTCGCTTCTTCTTAGCTATCTTTTATTAATGCTAGTCCCGCAATTAGTGTTATAGCTATTTTGATCTTTGGTATTTTACGTTAGGCCATATTCTTTATTATAAGATGAAAGTCATTCATCAATTCTGTCTTGATGTATAATGTAATTCAAATTCAAATAAAGCTCTTTGTGTTGTCTATCCAATGGCAAAGCATAAAAGACTTCTTTTTCCACTTCATACATAAACTACTAAAAATCCTTTTGAATTGATTCATGTTGATATCCGGGATCCATATTCTTAGCTATCTCATGGAAAATATCATTATTTCTTTACCATTATGGATGGTTATACCGGGATGACTTGGGTTTTCTTGATGCAATCCAAATCTAATGTTGCTTTTATAATTTCTATTTTTTGCAATCTCATTCAAAACTAGTTTTGTTTATTTGTTAAGCAAATCGGATTAGATAATGGCCCGGAATTTAAAATGATTGAGTTTTATTCTACCAAAGGCATAGTTCATTAGTTATCTTATGTTGAAACACCATAACATAATGGTATTGTTAAAAAGAAATATCAACATTTATTAGTTGTTGCTAAGGCTCTATTACTTCAATCCTCGCTTGCCTATTCTTTTCGGGGTGAAGCAGTTTTTGTTGCATCATATATCATAAATAGGTTACTTTCTCCAATTCTACATAGTAAAACACAATATGAAATGTTATTTAAAAAAAAACTACATACAATCATTTGAGAGTCTTTGGTTGTCTTTGTTTTGCTTTCACTTTATCTCAACATAAAAGAAAATTTGACTTTTGAGCTAGACAATGCATCTTTCTTGGCTATCCACTTGGTATGAAAGCTTACAAATTATATGATTTAAATTTCAAAGCTATTTTCACTTCTAGAGATGTTATGTTTCATGAGCATATTTTTTTTTTGTTTTTCTAAAACTATAAATTATCCTGTTATTACACCTCTTATTGTTGTTTCGTATGATTCCGTTCATTCATTGCCAATTGTTTTTCTTAATTCTCATACCGATAGTTCTAACCCCTTTACTTCGATATTGCTCGAGATTCTCCCAACTCTTTTGTGTCAAATAAACAATCTTTTCCTAATCCTTGTGAATCCCACATAACTACTATTCTAGTTAGGAGAAGCACTCATATCGGTAAACCACCAAATTCCTTGTTAGATTACTAAACAAAACTCACTTTTATAATTTCTTCTATTTGTTTTGCAAAATATCCTATTCATCACTTTATTTCTACATCTCATCTATCTCCTTCTCATGCTACTTTTTTCACTTTTTTTCAACTACTCGTTGAACCCCAATCATATCATCAAGCAATGCATTTTGATTATCGGCAAGCATCTATGAAAGCTAAACTTGATGCTCTTGAGAAAAATCATACTTGGATAATGGTTCCTCTTCCTTATAAATAACACGCAATAGGTTATAAATAGTTGTATAAAGTGAAACTTTTTCTTGATGGGAGAGTTGACAAAAACAAAGCTTGATTGGTAGCAAAATGGTATAGTCGGTAAGAAGGTTTTGATTATCTAGAGACCTTTAGTCCTATTGTTAAACCAATAATAGTGAGGTTATTTCT